TTAAAATGACAAATGTTAAGGGTTTGTTTAAAAATAGAGAAATATCAAATATAATATGTAAATAACTACCAAACAATCTTAATGTTATGAGTTGTCCCGAAACAACTGTTCAGTTTCGGATAAGGCTTAAGGAATGTAGAATGCTCGTATAGTTCATTTATGAAGCATTGGACAATTACTATAGTATTAGAAATATAAAATTAATACTTACTTAACTTTTTTAGTATTTCCAGAGCGCTATAAACTTATAGAAAGTTGATTAGCTAAGAAAAAAGATATCAATAAGTATTTTGTATATTTAGTTTACATGTTATGTTTTTTTCTAAAATAAAAAAAAAATACATTTTAACCGGAGACCGGTTAAAATGTATTTTTTTGGCTTTTGTTGTTTGGAACTGCAATTTTTTCATACTACGATTTAATATTGGACCTGACCATGATTATAATGTTATGACAACGTAGACAAAATTATTATTGAACCCAAATAGCATTAAGCAAAGTATGTATAATTTATACATATTTGAAAATTTAATCATATTTTAAGAGTATACATCAATATTATTAATACAGATGTTTTGTATGTTATAAATTGCCTTGGTAATAGCCTATATATTTATAATATATACATATATATTGTTATGATTTCAAATTATTGTAAAATAATAAGAATAAACAAAATATACGTTAAATTAGGTTAATACTTATCTGGCAAAATTGTGAATAATCACCAAGTAAATCGTGAAAATAATTAAAAAATTATGCATCTTAAGGTTAAACTTGTACCGTCTCGCTTCTTCTTCAGTTGCTGCAGCGTGTGCATAAAACTACTATCTTGAAAAATGCACGTGTTGCTTATAAATGCAAAAAATATAAATAAAAAAACCGTTTTACGTGTACAAGGCTAACGTACAAAAATTTTAATAAATCGTAAATTCATAAAGTACACTTATAATATTATTTATTCTCCAACAACCCTGTCAGTCTTTATAAATCCCTAATTGGTTATAATGATAATAATATTGACAACTTATAAGTTATATACCAGTTATTATACGTAAAAACGTTTTTTAAATAAAAATAATAATAATTCCCATAAAAGCGTTACATAACCAAATGCGCGGAGCTTGCTTACAATAGCTTGTTTATTATTCGCATTAAATGATATTAAACTAGCTACTATTAAAATAGTTGATTAGTATTATAAATTCGGTATCGTAAACGTAATAGTATTTAGCTAGGCAAGCTTTTTTGTAGGTATGTGATAAGACGAAGAAGATATTATATAGCCCATAAGAAAATTTTTTGTTTTGTATTTTGCGGGTCAGGGCAGAAAATATCAAACGCCACTGCAAGCATGAAATGTTTAGATAGGACTTCTTTCAATCGCAAAAATCAGTAGGTAACACGCATTTTTTTTACTTTACAGTAAAAATATAAAATAATAAGTATGTATAAATAAATAAACAAAGACTAAAGAGGAATAAGACAAATGAATCAGTTTATTTTTAGTGTTGGGTAATTGGGTATGTATTTGAATCATATTTAATTATTAAAAATAGTTTAAAACGCTCGTGTGCGTTCTCATAAAACTATGGAAAACCAGGATTTTTTTTTATTGAAACCGTTATTTTTCTGAATTTAGCGATACAATTTATAAAAACATCCTAAATCTGATCTAGATCTAAAATTAAGCGCGTAATGATATTATTTCTAAATTAGCTGGTTCCGGTTGGGGAGGTGAACACACGTTGGTATATTGAGAACAGCATCTCTAGCTTTAGCTTACACCACTGCTGAATACTGTAGTCCGGTGTGGCTAAACATTCGCCACACCTCAAAAATAGATGTACTGCTCAACCGAGCCCTGAGAAGCATCTCCTGAACACTTGAATTGACTCCTATCCCTTGGTTACAAGTTTTTGCGAAAATTCTCCTTACATATATTAAGCAAGTGGATGAACCTAAAGGGAGAATCGGATAAATATCTTAGTTCACCTAACATACCTCCGAAGAGGTTAAAATCACGGAACCCTGCTGTCCCTGCCGTGTAGTCGAGTAATCGAGCGAAATTTCAGTATATCCTGTTCAGTTGGATTAAAGTAGGTGCGGTCATATATGAATAAAGTAATAAGTATAGGTGAACGGTAATGCTAAAACTGAAATACAATGTCATGTTTTATAGTATCATTATTTTTATGACACGTGATGAATTCAAGGATACTACTATTATAATTAGGTGGCCACGTACTGCATGAACTGTTCTCTGACGGTAATAATAATTGTAGACGATAAGCGAAACTAAATAAATAATCATTTAACAATGCTGTATTTTGTTTTCACTTGTTTTTCTACTATTAAAAAAATGAAACTATTTTTTTGCTCTGTACTTTTTGATCTTTTGTAAATTAAAAAACTTTTTGCTAATTAAATAGTGTTAATTTAATATTTTCGAAATCTATCTATCTAACTGGTACTTTGTAAGAAGTAGTATAATTTTTATGTCGACATATGAATCGTACGGTTACTTAAATTTAACAACATTAAAGGTTTAAGGGTATGGTTTAGGGATGCATGCTGTTTTTAAGGAGTTTCGTATAGGCAATATTTAAGACAAAGTGGTTTTAATAAATGTTGACCATGTCAATAAATTTACCGGTTAATTTGTATAAGTTTCATGGTATAATTTTTAATTTAAATATTTTTTTCTATCAGTAAAAGCCATTTTGGCTTATTTTAGACCAAAAAGCTAGACAAAATTTCTGCTACATGGGGATGGTCCAATTTCAATTCTGTAAAAAGATTCTAGTTCGTTGGTTACTTTAATACGTTATGTAGGAAGTCTATTTTCATTTAAAAATGTCAGTTTCTTGTATTTAAATTAAAATTTTTTCAATATTAAAACCCAACTTTTTTATATAAAAAAAGCAAAAAATAAACAATGTTTCCTGCATAACCTACTTATGTTGCCAAAGAACTCGTATATATTTACAGAATTCAAATCTAATCATCCTAAGTAGTTAAAAATGTTGTCTGGCTTTTTAGTCTAAAATGTCAAAAAACGGTCATAAGACATCTGTGCCTATGTATCCGCTTATAGTGTGGATACTTTGTCATAAATTTAAAACCACCGGAGCTTCGTAGATATCGCAGCCAAAATATTTAGCTATACATATAGGGAGCTACATTTAATTTATATTCCACTCGACCTAAAAAAAAATATTTTTCTTAAATCTATATAATGATGTATAGAAAAAACGGGCGCAATACAATTGCGCGCGGTCCTTATCGGCGGTACCTTTTTAGGCGTACGATTGCGCGCGCTATATTATGTGTACTTCTATGCAACGTTGCCAAATACATAGGTATATCCTAGGTAAATAAGAAATATCCATACGAGTTGTAGCAATCTGTACGCATATAAGCATACCAAACATTGTTAGAGGACCTGTAGAGAATCGCGAGTTCTGATTGGCTCTCTGACACATGTGATAACAAATTAGCCACAACAGCTGATATATTCTACGGCAGGTCACCGAGTGTTTTAGCACTCGCTCGCTTCGCTCACTCGGCGTCGTCGCTTCGCTCCGCTAACTAAAAATATCCTAGGTTTGCAGGCTACAGTCTAGGAGGAGGTCACATGTTAAATCAAATTTAAATTAAACTTAACTTTTTTAATTATTTATCTGTGTAACGGCAACGTTGCATCCAATTTCACGCGCAACAGTACGCCTTTGAAGGGTCAAAACCGTGTTCTTTGTTATTCCGGCACCGCGCGCAATCGTATACACAAAAAGGTACAACGCACGCAATCGTACTCCGCCGGAAAAAACTTAGCAACCTTTAACCAAAAATATACACTAGTTTATGTATAAACGTATTTCGGTAGCTAAACAACCATCATCGATGTTAGGTACACCGTAGTATGATGCTAAAAAAAATCCAATTCAGAAAGTGTTAAAATTCGAAATTGAAAAAAGTAAAGAAAACCGATCTCAAGTAATCTTTATGACGAATTCAAATCATTTAAAATTTTCTTATCGCATCAGTTTATCGATCGGTTAAAATACGTCCAAATTCTTATGTTGCGCGTGAGGTATACACAGACGGGAATAATCGGTATCCAATCGCCTTAATAAATTCGGTTAGAAAACACATTATTGTATTAACTATTACACAGAGTATTTATTTTTATTTATCGTACAATTTTGGCCAAATAGTTTCTAAACATTTTATCCACAGTTTCTCATAATACAAGATTTTCTACTTTTAGGCCGGGCGCACATTGAGACGTAGGCGACATAGGGCAGCGCAGAGCAGGAAAAACTACGTCACCCATATGAGCGCTTATTAACATGCAGTTTTGTGTCACTGTTCATAGCGTGAACATAGTCATGAGTGATATGATTGCTGAAAATTTAATAAATTTAAGTTCTGAATCAGATTCTGATGTTGAATTTAATGAACTTATTTTGTTATATTCGTTAACTAAACGTAAAAAATTTCTTTTCCCACAAATCGTTTTTTAGCTTGGCCTTCATATAGTCTACATGACTAGTATCAAACAAAATACTATGTTGTCGAACGGCTTTAATTAAATGTTCTTCCATCGCAGATTTTTCAAATAAAAAATGTTAGTTTTATTAAAACATTGAAATAAGACTCAAATTGTCTAATTAAAGTTCACGTCACGCCGCACGTGTGCAGTAAACTGTGTCGCGAACACTACGTGACGCAGGCTGACATAGGTACAGTACTGCTCTGTCCTGCCCTGCCTCTCAATATGCTCGTAGATTTTAACTACTGGATTACAGAAAACTACGCTGCGCTGCCCTATGCTGCGCTACGTCGCCTGCGTCTCAATGTGCGCCCGGTTTTTAATGCAAACTGCACAGCATACAACTCTTCTTATTACTTATAACATAACTTTTATTGATAGTGATGTAAACTCAATTATTAATTTAAACTTCAAAGTCGATGTCATGTTTGTTTTGATTTTTCAGTTTCAATACCTCGAACTAGCTCGTGGACAAAGTCATGGGTACATCGGAATAACCATTCTAAATTCAACATTAGAGCCACCAACACGTGCAAGACACCTATCAACAAGGTAAGCGTTTGTATAGCAGATGAGATATTTGGATGCTAAGCTCAAAAAAGTTGTACAATAAATAATATTATGTTTTGTTAGGCCTGTTCCCGCAATGGCGCAATATTTTATCGCTAGACCTAGGTACTTCTTTTTATACAGAAAAAAAAACTATTGTTTTAATTACACATTTACTTTACCTTTCTGTATATTTTTAACATTACCATTACTGCATTTAGACGCTTCTCACATATTTTCAACAATTATAAAAAATAAATAAACATTTTTGAGAATACAACTTAATCAACTTATGTTTAATAAATGCAATGTATAGTTTTAGTTCTATTAATAATACAAGAGCTGAGGTGTGACAAATCAAAATTCGCGTTGAAGCATGTCTTTCTTGCAAAAATTGGCTATTACTGAAACTAGCATGCAAGTTCCGTTTCCACTGTGCTTGGCATATGGCTGTGTTAACGTTAACTTTTTCTCGCGTTCTTTAGCAACGATTTTCCTACGAATACCGATACCTGTACCACAGAGTCTCTTAAATAGACTGAGACGGGTAAGTTTTCGTAATGTAGTAAAGAAATGAATATTCAAACCCTTGACCATAATAATAATAATACACTCTCAGACTAGTCTGTCGTTTGCACTGAAGATGACAACATTGTTTTACGTATATTCAGCAACAAAGATTTTCATAATGATTTACAAGGAACAATCGTTCGTTGTATGAATAAATGGGGTTTACGTATTAATGTATTTTTTGCTTAGTCACTAACGTGTCTTTTTCTTTTCCTGGGAAATTGGTTTTATATTATAATATGTTATACTGCCGCCATCAATATCCATAAATTAACGGTTATCGACACAAGTAAAAAATAAGCAGTCATTACTACATTTACAAATCTACCTTTAATAAATTAGTAATGAGTCATGGGGAGTACACGCCACACGCGTACTTGTCCGTAAGATAATGTAATATATTATTATGATGTATATTATCACTCAATCGAGAGTCTCGCTGCGACGATATGAAATAGACATTTTAATATAAATAAAGAACTACTAAAGAGTTTAGCCCCTTATTTTTTAAAAAATAAGATATTTTAGTTACAATTGTTATTTTCCTCTGTAGATATTACTATGATCTATGTCATGATGAATATTCGCTATCGCCAAACCTTTCAAACGACTTTCATCTGTTGTTTCTCAAATAAGTTTTCAGACGTAGTAGAGTAGAAAACGATCTTTCTCTTCTTACTGTTGTCAACGGTGAAGTTACTAATATTATTTTAAAAGTCGAATCAACGCCATTTGTTGATGATTAGCTAGTCTATGTAATACAATTCTAATACCTAAATGGGTGAATCACAGTTCTTCTCAACTATCGAGTGAAATGTTTCAACTACTCTTCGGTTTCCGTACGTAGTGACTCTATTGCCCTCAGAACCTCCACAGCTAGTTTTATTTATTATGGCAAATCCATATTATCCCATAATCATGTCTGTAGTATTTATAATTTATTTATTTACTGAACGACAGTAAATTGTGTGGAACAGAGGCCAATGGAGGGTGTTACAACACCTGTAACATCCCCCTCCTTACGCGCCTGGAAAGAAGGGTTGGGTTTAAAAGTAAGCGTTATGGTGATATGTATTCTTGTATATTTAGTATACAAAATATACTTAATAGAAAAAACTGGAGTATAACATCAGATGATTGAATAATTTAACTTACCTCATATTAAACAAAATAACGTTCCAACGATGTGCAAACGGATGCACGTGCGTGGAAAAATGATAAAATATTCATTAATAAATAATTAACAGTTTGACCATTATTGAAAGTTAAATTTATAATAGCGAAATTGGACTCTTACCTCTTACCTCATGCGCACTTTTATCCCAGGTTACTCTATATACATTATTATTTTTAGTATTTATTTGTGTATAGATATTACATAAAATACTAAATAGATTTTATAGAATAGCCGTCACTTTTTTGTTAAAATTGAAAAATTACCCTTATGCTTCCATCTATTCTATGCTTTTAATATAAAACAATAACGTTCATATCAAATATTTTTTAGTTGTAATGTAATTTAAAGGGTGGGGGGGGCTTAGCTCTCTAAATAGTACAATGTCATATGTTTTTAAGGGACACGTGCCAATGATGCTTCTATGTAAATAATAATAAAGCTTAAAATTATGGTTGTCATTTGTCAATATGATTTTTGTATTGTTACAGTCTGACGTCAGGAAATTGCTTGAATGCAGCTTCAAAAACGAGGCGGTAACGGATGACCACTTAGACGTGCTACAAAAACGACAAGCCCTGTTGTTGATCACCATGCAGACCATGACGCTGTCACACCACAATAAAGTTTTGCAGAACAAACTCGATGAATTGCAAAAAAGAGTGTTGATGTTAGGAGCTAATCCAAAGAAGACGGCCGAAGAATCGGATTTAAATTGAAAACATATTTTCATAAGCGTACAACGAAATAACCTCTACTAATTTATAAAACAAATTACTAATATTTATGATACTTATTATTCTCTCATTATTACTGTTTGTATTGAATGTATAATTTGCGATTCCGCTCCGACGATAATCGAAACAACGAACAAATTACCACAATAATAATGACAATTAAAGACGAATAATCAACTCTGATCATTCATCATAATGTATGTGATAACACGTTCAGCGAATAATCGCAACGGCAAGCTAGGGAGAAATTAGACCAAATAATATATACCAATGAGCATTTATTAATTATTAGTTAAGCATTATATTATATTATTAGCTAATATAATTTGTAGGAATACGGTTGTGAACAGAACTCCAAAGGATAATAAGGCAATAATACGGATGAGAACGGCTGTTTTATTTTTATTTTTTTTTGCCATATAATTATATTTATTAAAAATTATATTATAATAACAAATTATTATATGTATAATTAATATTTTGTAAAAATTCTACACATTTATATTTGTACTGTTGCAACGTCTTAAGTCCTTAAAATGTCTGTAGGAAATTCTAATGTATAGCTATGTATTAATTTTTTTACATACTTTTAATATAATATTTCTAGAAAATTTGTACTTTTATTATAAGTACGACAAATTAAAACCAAGTATCAATGGTATTATTTAACACTAACTTCCAGCAATTGCTGTCAAACAATTGCCGAGTTAAGTCTTAGATTAAAATTATATGTATAAATATTTTTTTTTTGTCACTAATTATAGAAATTATGGCGCGTTTTCATTGTATCGCCGAATATGTGATAGGGGGGATTTAGTTTAATGTTAATGATCGAAAACCTGTACTTAGTTACAGAATTCCTTGAAGTAAATATTTTAATTTGTTTGTATACATTAAACATAACATAATGTAAAGCTTAAATACTGCTCATGTTAAGCCTTCAAATACCTAAATTATTAATAAGTTTAAATAATATTATACTAATAATAAAATAATATGTCTTTGAAAATGAAATTATGTAGAGTATATTGTCCTACATTTGTTTTATATTATTTAAATTAATAAAAATTGATGTGGTAGGAATATATAAATTCATAGACAATCTATATATGTAAATCACAAAAAAATGACACCACATAAATTATAGCTTTCGTGATTGCTTGGATTATGTCATGGACAATCATGATTCATGTCAATGCTTAACTCGCATATCACCTTATCTCTAGATAATACTTATTTTTCTAAGAAACATATTGCACTAAAATGCAAGGAAGGTGTGAAACTTATAATTTCCTGAATATGTATGTCTACCTCATGTTCTACATAATATTTTAATTGTAATTTATTTTTAAGTAGACCTCCATACATTGATGTTAAACGCCTATTCTTAACAACTTTATTAAAATAATTGTTTTTATTTTATTAATTTAATTATATTAAAAATTGTTACTTAAAGTGCTATTTCTTTATTATAATTGGAAATGGGATTTGCTAATTGCTGACTAGTATTATAAGTATTGAATGCTAAATTTAAGGATTAATAATATATTATGTATAGATAAAAAAAATCACACTGTTCCTCGATTTAATTCTAAATAAATGTGTTTGTACAAAAATATAAAGCGTATTTGTATAATTATAATATCGATAACATGTTTATTGTTGATACAATAGTCTTAAATGAGTGTTGATTACTCAAATTATCAAATGAACAATTTAACCTGGTTAGTTTTAGTTCGTCTCTGGAGTGTATGAAAATAGTATCAGCATAACCCAAAAATGGAGAATTACCTAAAAGTAAAATGACTTATTTTCTTTGTAAATAATTGACTATTTTAAAAACCTTACCACATATACAAATAAAAGAGTTCTTAGCAGAGGATATCGACGAAGATACATCCCTGTTCTTAGGCCAATAGAATCTATACTAGAGAAGGCACGTTTTACTCTTCTTGCTACGCCTGTATTAAATGCATTTTCCAACATGAACTTGGGCACTTTTGCTTTAGCTGAAAAAATCAGCAATTAGGTACTTTACTGTATATTTCTACAATAAAATGTATTCTACTATATAGTAACAATAGCTAACCATCATCAGTGTCGTTAACGTTAATGAGTAAACTCGTTTCCTTTTTCAGCCTTGCCTAAAATGTTCGTCTTGTATAATTTATAATAATAATGTATTTGAATATTATATTTTACAATAATAACAAGCAATACCTCTAAACTCTCAATTTGTATAGCCATAGCTTTTTTTTCGGCCAACACTTGATCTATTTCAGATTGTTTACAAGTCAAAGCATTTTGGAGTGACATCATTTGTTCATTGTTATAGTCTTTTTGGTTAGCACAGCTGTTATAAGAAGTGTTTTCAATTGCAGATTCAACTTTAAGATTGGTTAACCGTTCTTTGAAGTTGACAATATCGTGAAATGATTTTTGCACTCCACAGTCGATAGAAAGTAAACTGCTTTTCATAGAGTTTAATTTGGCCAACGTACTGGTACGTTTCAACTCTAAATCATTTGCAGTACTTAAAGAACAAATTTGAAACATTTTTAATTTATAAAAATAAAATAACTGTAAGTATAACTTACTATTTTATAACCAGTATAAATTAATTTTCTATTCAACATTAAAGTGGTCTAAAAATTTTTTTTTTTTTAAGTTTTGCTTTACTCTCCTTAATAATTGTAAATCCCACCCCAAGCAAATTTTATTTTTGCAGTATAATAAATATAATACTATATTTATAATTTTAACTACGCATAAAGCTCTTAATATATAAATATATACATAGTTTGATACGTTTTGGTCTTACCCCACTTAATTTTCTTTATAGTATAAAAGTAAGTTTAAGTTTAAAAAAAAATGTTTGGCCAATCCCAGGTTAATTGATTGAGGTTAAGGTTAGAGTTTTGAATTGAGGTTAAATAAATGTTTGGTTTTCTTAACCAAGCACAGGCTAGTTAAAGGCCTAGGCTGCTCGCCTCTAGGAGTTTGTTTTAGTCCTCTTTCCAACGGGCCACCATAAAAAAATTAACAATTAAATTAAGGTTTTTACACGTGGTAGCGCCACTAAGTTGGCCGTGCCACTCGTAGAAGCATGAGCGACCAGAAAAGTGGTGCCGCCATGGTGGCCCCATATGAACTAGGCCTTACTCTTTCTAGACATTTTCCTACATGGAGAGAGTGCCCAATGATGGAATGTTTAACAAGTGACAGTGAGCACTACACAATGACGTCTCGCCTCTTTGGCCACATGTCCTCTAGAAATAAGTCCATGTATCAATTTTTTTGTATTTCAGAGATTACTTTTAAATTTTAGAAAATATATTTCTTTAATTTTTTTTATCATCCTATGGGAAATAATAATTTTTATTTTGATACTATAAAGAACAATTAAGAGGGGTAAGAACAAAACTTCAACTGAGTGAGTTTCGGATATATCCACGTCGAATGTTTTGTGCCAACGTTTTGGACTCTTTGCAGAGTCCGAAAAGTTGGCACAAAACATTCGACGTGGATATATCCGAAACTCACTCAGTTGATATATCAACCCACAAAAGTTTTAACGCATTCATAAGAACAAAACTTTTCAAAAAACTATTTTTTTTTAGACCATCCTAATAAATTATATAATATATTTTTACAAAAAAAAATCAAATCTTATATAGATTTGTTGATTATAACATTTAGTTTCTATATTTGAAAAATAATACAAAAAAATTACTCATCGTCTAACGTAACTATTGAAGAGCCATTAAAAAAATTGTTGTAAGATAATTTTAATTACCCATCTTGATTAGTTGTTTGGACATAAATCATTTCCAATTCATCCAAAGATTCTTTTATTTTTTGTGACACATTGCCTAGATCAGATTTGGAGTTTATAACTATTGCATCACATTCATTAATAAACAAGTTTAACAGCTTTTCGCACTGTACAGAACTTTTATTTTGAAATTGAATATTATTTAGTGCAATTTCTAAGTTTAATTTTTCGGCAGCAAGTGCATCTTTCTTATGTTCATCAACTTCAATTCTAATTTATATAAAAGGAGTTAATATTATAGAATATTGTCAAATGCTTATTAATTATTCAAGCTTACATTTTTATCAATTTAGAAACTTCTTGTTTTAACAGTTCATTTTCTTCAACTAAATTATTGTTAAAATTAATATGACCTTCATCAATAGTTTGTTCTCGAGAATTAGCAGATTTTGTTTTCAGGTTAAACATGACATCTTGAATGTTTTTTAACTGAATTTGAGCCTCTTCTAATTCTTTTTCTAAATTAACTGAGTGTCTTTTATTTATTTCCAATGCTGTTGTAATTTGGCTTATATCTAAAAATAATAATGGCAAATTACATTAAATTGTAAACTAACAAAAACAAAACTTAAAATTAAATTTCACCTTTATCGGCTGTCTTTAATTTGTATTGAAGTAAAGACATTTCATTATTTAATGTTTTAATTTCATTTTTAAGCATCAGATTTTCTTCTGTCAGTGATACAGATATTGAGTCATTAGATGAAACTCCAATGCTGTATCCTTCATACTAAAAACAAAATCTAGAATGTATAAAATTATAATACAAAAATTCCAAAAGAAAATCATCTATTTTTTCAAATTTCATTTTATAACATGAACACAGCATACATTATTAAGGGGTAAAATATAGACAATCTTCTTCTTCTCTATATACTACCATTGTTTTTTGTACATTTGTTCTAAACCTCCACTTGACACAACCTCCCCATCATCCTCGCACACACCAGCAGGCCTCATATCATTCTCAATTGCATCCAACTACCTCTTTTCAGCCTTCTTTTTCCTCTTGGGTTTATTATCACTACCATTCTTACTGCTTCTGATTCTTTTCTCCTCATAACATGTCCAAACCATTTCAGTCTCATTTTGTCCACTATCGAAGCCATGCCTATGCTGCGTATTCATTCCTTTCCTATGCACCTAAGTTTTTCATCTTCGCTACACTTCAGTCTTCATACATATCTTTTATTAAACTAATATATTATTTTGAAAATATTTTTCCTGTTAACATCCATCCACTTCAAAACCTTTCAAAAAGTGGTAAATTATAAACAGAGTGTTGGCTATCTATATTAGTTAATGAATAACGCCACACTTTGGTATTTTAGATAAAACTAGTTATTTTTTTTAACTAGAATTAGAGTTTTTAGTAATTAATAAGTTAAAGCTTCTTCACAACTGACACAATAGGATGTTATAGCTGACAAATAATAATAACTCATAAAATGTATATTTTAATGCTATGATAATACTCTACTAAACATTAAGTTATAGTTATTTGTAATTAAATTCATATCAGAATTACTTGAAAATAACCTTTTTCATAAGACTTACTCAAATTAGATAAAAAATTTGCATATTGCCTTGTACTTTACTCATGCACATATATTTATATATTTATTTATAATGCCATACAAATTAATAATATTAACAAACTTGTGATTTAATAGTTGTTTCTTGGCCATTCAAATACTGCAGAAGATGTTCATCTGACACCCGAGCATCTTGCTTAGGTTTTTTCATTAAAGACTTGGTGGCAGGTGAACTTGGTATTAATGCAACAGGTTTATTGTCAATTTCAATTGATACATTTTCTGTGACGGACGGTACTCTTTAAAATTAAAATCAATATAAAAATAAACGATTAAAATTGAATTAGTAAGCGTGTAAGGACACTTACTGGAAAATGTCTTTTTCAAGTTTCTCTTTTTGAGTTTGTAGAACAACGGCAGTACTTTGATCGATTTTGTCAAGGTATTGTTCCGCTCGGCCAGCTAAGTCTTTGAGCCAAGACATATCTAAATTCAACAATAATTTACTTAATATACAAAAAAGATTTTCAATACAACCTAATAACTCAAAAATATATTTTTTTATTATTAAATTTTACTTTTACTACCGTGTTGTGAAATTTTACTGATAACACAATTATCTTATCACACAATTGAATCGAAATGAGATAATAGGTCAAGGGATAACACCACTTTTACTAAATTACAATTTGCATGCGTGTTACCAAGGACCATTTTTTCCATTATACACTTTTTCCCACAACAACCAGTTAATCTATTAACTGCTTAACCTTCTATGGCGAAATTTGATATTGGAAAAAATGGTCGATGGATCAACGTATACATTGTATACCTCAAATTTAATTTATACCCAAGGCATTTTGTTCTTTGGAAAACGATTACTTGGATCAACTGTCATTTGGAATTGTTTACATTTTAAAAAGTTTATAAATACCAATCAACAGCACTATTCCTACGTGAAGTTTTTTATTTATATCTATGAAAAAAATAGTTTTTGGTAAATTATAAAAAAATACATTAGTTAGCAATCTAGTTTATTATATATATCTGTGGCAGTATCTTACTCCTTATATTTTTATATAAGAACTCTATAGTGACCGCTTTTTTTATAGCTCCGTTTACCGTTAGCTCATTAAGAAAGTAGCAACCATTATATTATAGATTTATAAAGTCGTATTTCAAAATTATTATCCCATAAATTCCCATGTAAATTTATATTATCACGCATATTGTGTCAAGTGTTAACCAATCGGCAATTCGTCAACTATCTACAAGTTTAAGCTACCCATCAAGGCCTTAGAAGATTTAAGGCCTCTACCTATTGTAGAAGATCGAATTCCATTATGTACTTTAATAAGTAACGGTTTACTTCAAAATGTAGATAATGCCATTGTTTGGTAAATTTTTATATATATTATTATACATTTCTTATAAAATACTGGTTAATATCTCTGTTGTGTTTTTTAGTAATATTAAAGAAATATGGACATTGAATACAAAGATCTTCACAGAGAAGCAATATCCAACCAAACAGGTTCATCACTAATAGAAATATATATGACACTATTTTCACTACCTGTTCATGTGATTTTAGTTGCTTGGATATCCATAACCACTGATTACTGCATACATTTAAATGAGTTAACAATCAGAAAGTTTTTATTTGAGTTTATGATATTGATATTTCCAATTATCTTAAATTTCACAATTTTTTCTAATTATGTTACTACTCAATTTATAAGTTACTTTATTTTTGCTCTATTTCCATTTTGTTATCTTTTATTAAACCATAATTATTTGTCATCAATCAACATTAAAATTAAAAGAATTCCCTATATAAGTTTATATAGATTTATGCTAAACACTTACACAGTGTTTTGTATTCTTGCTGTTGACTTTAATATATTTCCAAGACGATTCGCTAAAACCGAGAAATATGGTCACAGTATAATGGATATTGGTGTTGGATTGTACGTGTGTTCCAATGCACTTCTCTACAATACACCAAAAGTACACAATTTTCTTAATTATTATTTAAAAATCTTTAAACAAGTGTTACCATTACTCGTTTTAGGCATTGGTCGTAGCTATTTTGTAAGTAAGGTAGATTACAATCATTATGTATTTGAGTATGGTGTTCATTGGAATTTCTTCATAACGTTAGCATTTCTTAAAATTATAAACTTAATGATACTACCATTTATTAGCAAGTGTTGTCTCCCTATTTTAGCAACAGTATTAGTTGTCTTCTATCAGTTATCTTTGAGCTTTGGTCTAGGGGACTGGATTATGAGTGATGCACCTAGAGATACATTCTTTTCTGCAAATCGAGAGGGTATCATGTCTACTTTTGGTTATGAAGCAATATTTTTATATACCTTGTCTGTCAAATGGCACATGTCACATTTTATAAAAAAAGGATTCTTGATAAATAGCTTGTTTCTTTTGCTTGAGAATTTTATTATTGCTCTTACATTATTTTTTGTTACTATTAGTATGGATTGTCTATTTGGTGTTTCTAGGCGGCTAGCAAATGCTGGTTACGTTTATTGGATATTATCGATATCTTCATACTTATTATTTATGTCAATTTTTATAGAAAACTTTATTACTGTGCTGCTGCATAAATATAAAATGTTTAATGAATTTACAGGGTTTTCTTTAATTATTGAAGGTGTGAATAAAAATTTATTACCATTTTTCTTGTTCTCAAATCTTATGACTGGTGCTGTAAATATGTGTTTTTATACATTGAAAATGAACAATTTTAATAGTTTAGCACTTTTATCTCTATACACGTGTGTAATTTATATTACTGTATACTTCTTACAAAAAAACAAAATTAAATTAAAACTTTAAATAGATGTATAATATATTTTATTTATTATTATATTGTGGCGCTAAAAATAACATTAATCAGTACCTATATATAAGTATTATAATAAATTAAAATTGAAATGTTATCAGTATTTTAAAACTTATAATAAATTTAAATTAATAAACTGATTGCAAGTGTATAAATAAATAGTTTTTTGTCCTCTTTTAGCCTAAATAGTTAATGTTTGATGTTACCTAATAATTCTAAAAAAATGTTTACGTATACTGTAAATAAAAACAAATTTCTATAATGGCTATTATTTACATTTTACTAAATTTATTTATGCAATATTACACAACGGTTATAGTGTTTAGTGTTTTCTATAATTTAATCATTATCTAAAGTCTACTAAATTAACTAGTAAACTGTTGTCCAGTATACAGTGTTCAGCAACCTGAAATAATAAAATCGTATTTCGATTATGTGTCATCCATACATTTTTATTAAGCTTTGTAATGATCTACAACTTACCGTATATATATTACCATCTGTATTATGAGTATGAAAACCACGTACAAATTTACAGTTGGCAATGATTTGAAGGCCATGATCAGGAGTCAAGTAGAAAATGTTATTACTAGTAATTTAACAAAAATAATGTTGTACAATATAAATTAATTTATTACAGGTCAATTCACAAAGATACAAACGAAATAACTTTTTTTCTAGTGAGTATTTATGATTTTTTAAATTTTATTTATAATTATTTACGTTATAAACACCACATTTTGTATTGCTCTCGACTGTTTTACTTTTTTTCATTTAAAATTACCATTTTATCAAGAATAATTTGCTGAAAATGTTGCCTAGTCGACAACCAGTTTTGGATAATTACTTTTAAAGCTATTTATGTTTAAAGTTTAGGATGGGAGGTAAAGTGTGGTAGAGTAATACGCGTAGAGTTATTTTTATCTGCGAGCATTACTTGAACACACTTCACTCCACCTCCAGTATTAAATTTTAACCTTAATGACTTACAAAGTGATAATCCAAAACTGGTTATCGACCAGTCAACATTCTCAGCAAATTATTCTTAATAAAACATCTTGAAAACAAAAAAAATATATTTATAAAAGTAAAACAGTTGTGCAATATTAGATGTGGGTTTTATAGCATAAATGAGTATAAATTAATTTTAAAAAATACTTCACTAGAACAAAAGATATATGGCATATATTTGTGAAACACCCTGTATATGTTGCAGTGGCATTGTTGTCAGGGTACACACAGCATTTACCCTACAACAAAAACTGCACAAATTGAATTATGTAATACACATATCATCAGCCTAAATCGCAAAGTCGTATGTCCAAATAGGTAAATTTTTCAGGAGACGAAAATAACTTTAAGTTGTTTTTATTAGTTAACAAAAGCCAGAAAAGACTTAATCAATTTCAAAGAGAATACTGTTGACATTCAACTTTATCAAACTGTTCGGTTTTTTTGCCCTTTTAAAAAATAAATCGCCCCAAAATCAAAAAATGTGGAGTAAGATCTTTGTGATTTAGGCCAATTATATTACCTATTGTATTTGGGTGCACAAACAATAGCTATAGCTTCTGGCATCATCAATTGATAAGAATAGTGAGTATGCAGGTCAACACTAGACATAAATGATGTCTGTGTTGGATGAGTCTAAAAAATAAAAATTATGTAGAACTATAATGCTTTCATTCTCTTATATTAAATAAATTAGTAACTTTAAAATTTTAATCTTACATGAATCCATCCTAAGGTGATTAAATCTTTTTTATCTTGAAACTCAAAAATATCTTCTTCATTCATAGTTGTGCACGAATCCGAGGTACCCGTTTGTTTTGGAATCATCAAATGTGTTATTATTAGACTATTTGAACTCTTGTAAGAAAATTAAATGTAATGAAAATCAGGAATATAATATTTGTTTTTTTTTTTTTTTAAGTAACATGGCTTTACAAAAGTATATGACAAACTATAAGATACCTACCAATTTCCCTGCTAATATTCCACATGTCTCTATTGTTTTCATAGTATTGCTTTTTGCTTGATCTAAGAATCTTTGCGTTAAATCTGCTGGCACTATTATTTTACGCAGATCATATGGACTTTTTGACAATGGCTTTGTACTTCTGTCAACAACAGGTTTATCACTGAAAATAAATACAAATAAATTTTTTGCTTATTATACTTGTAATTACTTTATAAGAATTCATAAAAATAACCAAAATACGTTCAACAATGTTTGTGCTTGGTGTTAGAGTTTCTAAAACAAGTCAATTATTAAATGAGATAGTCATTGTTTATCTTCTACTTTTAGTTTAAAACCTATTAATTTAAACAACTTTTGTATTTAATAGGAAATAAATAAAAACATTGGATGTTTAAACTTGGCAAGCAAAGTAACATTGAGCTAAAATATTTTGATTTTTACATTAAAAAAAATATATTAAAACTTGTAAATTTATTCAATTTTATATTGTTTACGTACTCGGAACATTTATTTTGGGAATACGAAGAGCTTGTTGTACTTGGCGGGATAACTTTAGTTGGACTGTTGATTTCAAAGTCATTTTGTGTTGTATGATTATAACTAAAACATAACATAAAATAATTTCATTGACGTTAATTGTTAACACATCATTCATAAGAAAATAATTTTAATATATTTTAAAAATTAATAATATTTATTAATCTAGTGATCTTTAAAGATGACTGGAACTCCATTTCTTTTCATGATTAAAAATATATATTTTGTTTTATATCTTTTTTTTTCACTGATATATCAACAATGCAACTAACCTTACTATCCCAATTAAACATTTTAATTAAAAAATATTTCTCTTTTTCATATTATTTATACTAAGGTATGCTTTCTTATCTCGTCGCTCCTCTGCCACTGGTCTTGACAACATATTTTCTCCTTTTAGTGAGTCATGATCCTACTTACACCTTAGATTATCTTCTTAATGTTTACAAATATATTTTATTAATTTAGCTAATTTCTTATCCTTGCTCTTCCTATCATAGATTTCATAATCCAAAATCAAATTTTAACACTTTCTTCTGTCCTATAGTCTTTTTTTCATCTTTATCTTATATATTTTAACATATACTTAAAACGAGTCTTGATTGGTGACTTGAATTCAACTAATTCAGCTAGATAATGTTTTAAAGGCAAAATTCTTAAGAGAGGGTTTCTGTTAAGTATTCTGGTATGTCTTTCTATATTGACTGGTAAAATCTATCATTCCTTCAATGATAAAAATTCTAAGCGTAAGACTATTATTAAAGGAATTATTTTATTTATTCTGGAAACTAGCTTTGTAATTTTATTTTTGGTATTTAATAGTTTATTCTTATGTCATATATTATCATTTTTAAAAATGTATTTTTTTTTAATTGTTGAAATAAAATGCTATGCAAAACTGAAAAATCAAATAATATCTTTATAAATAGGTAATATTAACCTTGATGATCCATTTTTTGAAAAACTATTGCTGAATTCTGGATGAGCATTATCTACAATAGTACTTAAATATTCCTCTGTGACTTTATCAGTATTAATTGATGGCATGGTACCAGTGTCATTTTTTCCTTGAGCTAAAGCTTCTCTATCTCTCAGGTCTTGAACTGCCTACAAAAATAAAGGTAGTATTACATACTTTATAATATATAAGTTACTAAAGTATCTTATTTATAAATACTTATCGGACTTTACCTTAAGCAGCTTACAAACTCTTTAAGGGGTAGTGGTTAGTATATTAACCACTTTTGTTAACACATAAGAATCATTTTTGGTCACATTTATTGCCTTCGAAGTTAAGGGGTTAGAATTACTTGGATTTTTCAAAAATTTATTTTTTTAATTTTATAAATGCATAATTTATAATGCATTTAGTGAAATTTGATATACATTTTTCTCAAAACTATGTTTTTAAAGACGGTAACCACTATATTTTAAAAACCCCTCGATGGATTCCAATAAAATTTATACAGCATATTTTCGGCATGAAAAACTAGTGTATAATCAAAGAATTTGTTTGTGGATCAAAACTTTTTTATAAACAATAAACATGGGACTTTTTTCCATAAAATGCATACACAAACTTTTAGAGGCCACATTTTATTAAATTTGAAAAAACTTTGATTAGCACTAGTTTTTCATGCCTAAAAAATGTTGTATAAATTTCATTGAAAATCGTAGATTTGTTTTTAAAATTTATCTGTTAGAAAGCATTTAACAATCAAGCTGATACCTAAGTTGGTCCAGACTTCATATTTTGATATGAAATGTATTTACAATTTTCTTAAAATATGTGTAAAAACTAGAAATTATACGTAAAAATAAAACATTTTACAACTTTTTAAAAAATATTTGAAATGACTAGTTTTTAACCTTCTAATTACCCCTAACCCGTTAAAAAAAACCTAATAAATATAACTTTATGGATTTATTAACTGTTTATAAAAATATACAAAAAAAAAAAATAGTATACAATTTACTTTTTGCTCCTTATACAGTTCATACTCCTTAGTATATTGTGCTTTCAATAAATTTTTCAAATTTTCAGCTTTTGGAAGGACACCTCGAAGTATTTGATTATTTAAATTACGTTCTTCAACTGTCACATTCTTGTAATCCGGATGTTCAGTTATTGCTTCTAAGAATAATCTAAGCAAATATATTATTATAATTATACTGTATCACTATAAAGTATTAATATTATTTTTTTAATTAAGAAGTATTTATAAATACTTAAGTTAGGTTAACATATTTTTATACTTGATCAAGGTAAAATTAAAATTAAAAAAAACAGTGATCACAGACTAATGAGATATTATAATATAGTTTTATATTCACTACAATTTACAAATATAGTAATTTTCAAAAGAGTAAACTACCCTAGTATGTAATTCAATTTATTTTGACAACTCCAACAAAAAAGATCATTTGATATGAAAAAAAATCAGTGTAAAATTAAATATATTGTAGTTATCTTACATCATAAATTTCATGTACAGAATATATGCCTGTTCGAAGTTGTTTTCCTTTAAATATACATCAGCCATTCGTATCATTTCTTGTCCTGATCGATAATACCTAGAAAACCCCAAAATATGTATCATCGCTGTCATTTTGAAGAGTATACTGTATATATATTTATATCAATCCTCTAACTTTCTAGCAGCAATATTAGGATTTAAATCGATTTTTGAACTAAACAAAGAAAGTTGTTTGATCCTCTCCTCCGGCGTTAACATGATTGTTTCTGCTTCATTAAGATTGTATGAATTGTTAATATGTTTTTCGATAAATTCTTAACTATATTTGATGTATAGGTAAAAAAAGAGAAATACTAAAATATCATAGTAAACTACACTAACCTATTGGATACCTATTTAAAAAAAATCATTATATAAACAAGAATAATTAAAAAGAATTATACACTCAATTATCAAATCTCGTCTCAATATTAAATATTAATTTATATTTTCTAATAAAGATAAAATTATTACTGATAAAATATATCATAAGATAAGATGTTTCCTTATAATATGTTGCATTGACATCCTATTATCACAGATTATTTTCATATAATCTGTGCTATTATCAATGGACTACGCTTTCATGTCATAGACCTATAAAGAAATGGACTGATAGAGAGAGAGGTCCGAATATCGACATCGTTAGAAAGAGTGGTTAGGTATGGCATAGAAGAATATTATAAAAAATATTATATCATGGAGAAATAGTAATATGGTAATACCCGATAACGAAATTTTTATATTAAAATGTTTTAATTCATCTTAGTAAATATAGGACTGTCATCAGTTTAATTTCTTATAATGGTTTTCCAATGTAATAATTGGAACTCGACGGCCGCTTTTAGGTACTCTTGAGTTTGTCCTTCTTATTAAGTGCCCAAACCATTTGATTTTTTTTTAAGTCGACAAATACCTGGCACTTGCCACACATTTTGTTTGTATTCAAACTTTTTTTTATATAATCTGCCCAATCACCGACAACTGATCTATTGTCAATTTCCTTTTATGAAATTCGCATTGGTACTCCCCAATTGGTACTAATAGTATGTAAAACAATATTAACTGTATTTTACTATAATAATAATTTACCAACAATAAATTATCTATAGAATTTGTAAAGAAAAACTGTTTTTCAAAACATACTTACACGTTTTATAAAAAGTAGAACAAAAGGTTCTCATTGATAAAATCTGAATGAAATTGTAATGTTTTTTAAGTATTTATTACCGATATACTATACATATCTATTTAAAAAAAACATTTTTGTTTTTGCTAATTTACATTAGCATATATTTTATTACACAATTTTTGTAACACCGAGTTCAACCGTTTAGAAGTTTCACTTTTGCCGCGGGTTCCAAGACCCACACAATTTTTTTTTGAAATTGTTAATTGTATTTTACTAAAAGTTGTAGGTAAACTTAATAGAAGCTTACAGAAAAATATATTAATTTTAGCTTCTGCTAATAATTATTTAAATAATTTGTTTTGTTTAAATTTTAGTAGTTCTCAGAAATAAAATAATTTATAACTTTAAAAATGTATATATTTTAGTAGGTCGCATTAAATGCCTTAAGTTTAAACTTCAGACTTTTTAAGTTCTATAAATAGGAAAATACTATTTTCGTTTTTAATATATATTTATGCATTCAGCCTACAGAAGACTGGAATTCGACATTTTAAAATAGAAATTGAATAATATAAAACCGTCCTGTTTTATTCGAAGTAATCAAAATAATAAGTTATTTTCTCTATTAGTCTTATTTTTTTCTAATCCCTTTTTCCCTGTTCTGACTAATATGAATATGATTGAATCAATGTATAAGAAAACCATTATATTGGTTAGGTTAGGTTGAAATTGAAATGTACTTATGATTTTATAATTTGTATTATACGTTGTTTAACACGCAAAACAGTAAAAATTAAAAGTAAAAGCTTAACAAGAATACAAATTTATTCCGAGTGTATTCTACAGATATTGAATATTTTATCTATTCATGAATATTTTTCATTTGTCACACTGTTTTACTGATTAGTCCTGATTTCAATAAAATTATAACTTAACTATTATTCGTCACATCTTTACATTTTTGTTTTGCATAATACAATAATAGTCGCTTAACACCATGATATAATGCGGAATTTTTATTTTCACCTTCTTTTGTTTGACCAACTTGCGTAAAAGCTTATTAAATCGCAATGTTGATGAATGGTATGGTGAACTCCGGTGCACCCTCACCCTTAATATTACCTTTTTTTTACAAGTTATTATAATTTGTTAGTCTAATCGGAATTTGACCAATGACCATTTCAGTTAAACATAATAATACAGAACATTCTTTATTCTATGATATAGAACCTCTCGACTTGAACTCGATCACTCAACCCTGATCTCAGCAAACTGCTGTTGGAACACTGTTTGAGTTATCACGAATGAGGTCAGAGGTGGACTTCTAAAAAATCACTTTTACTGTTTTGTGATAAATGATAATTCAGGCATCAGCGCAATCACCACTCGCCAGTCAGTACAGACTATACGGTATTTGGTTTCGGGAATCCTGTTATTATTTATCATCTAATTTGTCGCAGCTGCAGTTTTTAATGTGAGCGGCTATTAGTGCAATCACATTCAATGTCTAGGTAGATATTGATCAGTACAGAGATAGTACTTGAACCTTAATTAATACGATTTAATATTTTATTTGATGGACTGGTGAAATTTGGGGTACACCGGGTTGATAGTCGTGTTATATAGGTACTTATCCAAAAAAATAATTATGATGGGTATTTGATAGTATTATTATTGTAATATTCATCCAGTCATAATTATTGTTGGAAATTTTCGCTTTATCTCGTCGCCCGAGTAGTTTTTTTTTTTGTACCGTAATTAAATTATATCTCATTCGCATCACGCATACACAGAAGCAATAAACGTCGCTACAGCTTTTCATGATAATACGTGTAAAACTATTTCCCATAGCCACGATTAGGTTATTATGTGAAACTGTTTACTCGTTTTGGATCGCCGCCGCACAAAAACGACAATGACTAACTCAACTTTACTGTTGCCTCAATACCATAAGTATTTAAACGGTGCTCCTGTTCCGTTTAGTCGTCGAACACGAAGAAACAGTGAATTGTGCTTGGTGGCATTGGTTTTTATATCGTTGTCAGTCATCTGTTTTGGAGCTCTATTTTATTTGCCCGAGTTTAAAGCCACCTACAGTGGTACACTGAATAATGTTTACAAGCAAATACAAAATGCTGGTCCTGAATTGCTGTTACCAGCGAGAAGCAACGCTAGACATGACGGAGTCCTAGAAGATCCTCACGCTGCATGGGACAAGGAAGCTTTGTCAGCCAAAATCGAAGAAGAGGATTCCGATAAAAAAAAAGTTTTGGAGAGACCAGACTTGGGCATTGCTTTCAGTTTAAATAATATTACAGGTACAAGTCTCAAAACAGCTATTGAACATGTAGAAACTAGTCTAAATTATGGCGATAACATGTTAAATGAGAAAAGGAACACAGTTAAAGCAGTAAGTAAAATACAATAAGAAATTAATAAACTTTTAAAGGAAATGTTGTTTATTTAGTCATGGTATAATTTGATTATTTAAACAGCTGTATGTATTTATTTTTATAAAATTACCTCGCTTAAAAGTTGTGTAAATATTAAGACAGATCCTATTCAAAAACGCAACATATTTATGTGTACATTATTCAATACCATAGTATTAGTACTATTTAATACCAAAACGTAAAGTAGTTTATTAGCTGTTAGAGAACTAGAGAATATTCTTGTGAATTGTATAATGCATAAAAAATTATTTGTTTGTGTGAATATTAGATGCCATAAGTGCATTTTTTTTTATAATTTTGAGATTTATTATGCTTTATTATTCCATGTATTGTATAAACTCTTACTGGTCTTTAACAGTTCACATTTAAGTTGTTGGCTTCCAATATTTGTACTATGTAATAATTCATACTGTAATATATTAAATACTATTAGATATTTACTGCTATTGCACGTATAACACCTGTACACTATAATTTGTTAATATTTTGATGATATTTCTAATATCTTATGCCATCTATATAAGCAGAGCTTATTAATAGTGGTGAAAAAGGTAGCTAGAATATCTTTTACAGTGTTCAGGAATTGAAAATTGAATATACAGGATGACTGGTTAACTATGACCCAGTCAATATCTTAGTAGATATTAGACTTTTTAAAATCATTTTTTATAATAAAAAAAAAGCTTTAATATTGAATGACGAGAGTAGAGTTTAAATGTTCTTTTTATGTTGTTTAGATGATGAAACATGGTTGGGACAATTACGTTAAATATGCGTGGGGTAAAAATGAATTGAAACCAGTATCAAAACGTGAGCATTCTGGAAGTGTCTTTGGTTCAGCAAGCATAGGTGCAACTATTGTGGATTCATTAGATACATTACTCATAATGGGTTTAAATGATGAGTACAAGCGTGGTCGAGATTGGGTTGCTAATAATTTTACTCTTGATAATGTGGTAAGTTATTTGTTTAAAAAATTATGGAAAGGTCACAGGCCTATAAGAATTTTTTAAATTGAAAGTGAAAAAATAACTTTCAAATAAATGCTTTGATGCAAAGCTGTAGATATATATTAAATCATTGTTAATAATGTGCTTAAAATTGTATTTTTAGTACTATGGTGGATACAATTAGGGTTGACCATCTGTTTATAATAATAATTTGTTGCCGTTGTTATCCACATACGTAAATAACAACAAAATTATAATATATTCCTGATACCTGAAAAAAAAAAAGTCAATACCTTCTCAGCTTCGCATCAAAGCTAATAAATTGTATACTAAAAAAATAAATTGTAATATACTCATTTTTGTACTTAGAGAGTAGACATCTCGGTTTTTGAGACAAATATTCGTTATATTGGTGGTTTTTTGTCATGTTATGCCATGACGGGTGATACTATTTTCCGAGATAAAGCTGTATATGTAGCAAACAAATTATTACCTGCATTTCAAACACCTACTGGTATTCCATATTCGTTAGTCAATTTAAAAACTGGTGTAAGTATTGACTTAAGATTTATTTGGTTCAAAGTATAATTATTTACAATCTTTTCTATTCATTTTTTTATTTCAGAGTAGCAAAAATTACTTTTGGGCAAGTGGAGGAAGTAGTATATTATCCGAATTCGGTACATTACATTTGGAATTTGTTTATTTGTCTGATATTACTGGAAACGACATATACAGACAAAAAGTTGAACATATTAGAGATTTTGTCAGAGGATTAGATCGACCAAATGGTTTATATCCAAACTTTTTAAATCCTGTATCTGGAAAATGGGGACAACGTATGTATAGTAAAATTATAGTTTTTTAGAGTAAATATTTTTAATTTAGTATTGAAAATATATGTTATCCATATTATTAAAGCAAATGAGTATGGGCTTAAAACTGATGCATTATATTAAGGGTATATTATGTTTAATAAACTCTTATTTTAACATGAAAATTTTCTGTGCAACACATACTTTTAACACTCGTATTTCCTAATAATACCCTAAACAAATTATTGACTTTGTTGTTGACCCTCCTGGCATTAATCCAAATTGATTCCTGATATTTCTGTTTCACTCAAAATACAAAATATGTAAACGTTTTTATCTGATATAAAAAACACTGCATTGCCAAAGACTGGATTATAGTGCCAATCACTGGTGCCGTTACTCTATATATTATTTTTCTATATATCGCCGCCCTGGTAGAACAAAGATTAAACTGCAAAAATTGAAATTTTATAGGAGAACGAAAAAATCAAATTATTTTCACTAAAATGTTATGGAATGTAACTTTAATGGAATGGGAGTACTTGGGAAATTATTACAACTACAGTTACATTGATTTGCTATCTTATGTGTTCAATATATTTAAACACATTGAAGCATTTAGTCCATTTTACCAAATTTTGCAGTTAGGTCATTGTTCTGCCGGGGCGGCGATATTATGTTCTGAAATTCAAAACGTTCTATTGTCTGATTGAAACTTGTTAAAATTATGTATTCAACTTATGTTGCATTGTTGTTACTTAAAACTATAAATAACCGATATTATGTTAATAATATTATTTGCATTTTTTAAATCGGTTTTTGACAATTATTTGATTCAAGTAAATGTTAATAATTATAAAGCAATAAACATAATTATACTGCAACACTTTTGAAATGAAATTTTAGTTTAGCAAGAAAATAAGAATTTATTTGCTAAATTAAAGAAAAATTAAATGCTTTAGTTTCTAACTATATTTATGTGAATCAACTTTACAAAATACAGTAATAATTTTTGTATGACGATTATGATAACATTTACTTGTAATATTCAGGTCATGTTTCTCTTGGAGGATTAGGCGATAGCTTTTATGAATATCTCTTAAAAGCCTACATTCAATCGAATGGAGAAGATACAATAGCACGTGACATGTTTGATGACGCTATGGCTAGTGTTATGGACAATTTGGTTCAAACGTCTGCTTCTGGACTTACATACTTAGCTGATATGCGTTTTGAACGAATTGAACATAAAATGGATCATTTGTCATGTTTTGCGGGTAAATAAAAATGTTATATTAACATTATACCAAGTTTATTATTATTCATAAATAATCCTGTTTCACCTAATATTTTATACAGTTTTTATTTTATTTTATTTACCAAATTTTCAGATTATAAATATTTTGTAAAAATTGAACAAATGTACACAATTTCAGAATTTTGGATTATGCCAAAAAAGAAAATGCAGATTTGTGTTTAGATATAAATGTTTTGTTCTAATAAGTATTCAGGAACTAATTCTCATTAGGATATTTTACATTATTATTGATGCTTTTCCTTAGTATTGTCATAAAGATTCCATTTTTTGAGGAGAAAATGTATAAAGTTTTGTTAATACTGCAAACTTAAAATTTTAATTGTTTGTCACAGTTATTTTTGCGCATGTGAATTGCATGCAAAACATTTTTCTCTATCCAATAGTGCATTCAACATGCCTAGACCCGTTTTTATCCGTGTAACTGTCAATATCTTCTTTGTCATATGTTTCTCAGGATTATTAATAGTTTTATATTTTTAATGTTTTCATTATGTCAAAATACATGATTTAATGTGTTTGTTACAGAACAAATTATAATATGTTGGTTACATTTAAAAAATAATTCCATACCCCTGTGTAATATTTTCAATTATACCTTGTAGGTGGTATGTTTGCTCTTGCTGGTGAAACACTGGGTAGTGATTCTTCCAAACATTATACTGAACTTGGAGCTCAATTAACAGAAACTTGCCATGTTGCCTATGACAAAACTGCTACAAAATTGGGTCCTGAAGCTTTTAGATTTACAGAAAATTATGAAGCTGTAGCAGTACGAGGCACAGAAAAGTACAATATACTTAGACCTGAAACAGTTGAATCATACTTTGTGTTATGGAGATTGACTCATAATAATAAATATCGAGACTGGGCCTGGGAAGCTGTTCAAGTAAGTAATTCAATTACTAAAATTTAAATGAGACCTGAAATAGCTCTTACCATCTTCTTTTATTTATTTAACAAGTAATAGTATTTTAAGCTGATAAAAATAGAGTGAGTTTCTAATAATTTACTATCTGAGTAGATTATGTTGAAGAAGTTTGTGAATCTTTTAATTAGTAACTTTTCTACACTTATAGTATGATCACAGATAAGATAGAAAATATTTTTTATGTTTTGTCTAATCTGTGGAGGAAGAGGACAGAGGGCCGAGTAGATTAAGGCGGCATTGCTTACACACATCATCACTGGTTCAAATCCGGTCACAAGTGGTCTCTCTTACTGAGCAGGGTAACCTGTCCAGGAGAAGAGACTACCACCTCCCCCTCAAAGTGTGGCAGAAATGCCATGCGCTCTACTTGACAACCGGACTAGGGCCGAATAAAGTTAAACGACGCCGGCAGAGATTATCGTATAAAACTGTTATTTATGTAACTAACTTAAGAACTATTTTAGGCATTTGAGAAACACTGCAAGGTTTCAGGAGGATATACCGGAATTAAGGATGTTTATCAACTAGATTCATTAAAAGATGATGTGCAACAAAGTTACTTTTTTGCAGAAACACTCAAAGTAATTTTTCCTACTCTATTACCTTGATTTTAAATTAAATTTAATTTCTGTTATTTATTTTCAGTACTTATATTTAATATTCAGTGACGACACACTTATTCCATTAGAAAATTGGGTTTTCAATTCTGAAGCACACCCCCTGCCTGTTAAAGTACGAAATAAAATGTATAGGCATTATAATAAGGATTAAATCATTTACAATTTTTTTAAACTATTCGACATGCAGATGGTACAATGTTAATTGTTACATTGTAGTGATAGCATTTAAAAATCAACTATTATATTAGCATTGAGTATATATTGTATATTATTATATTATATAGTCAATGATATTAGGTAACAAAATAATTTGTTTTGTGTTAACTTATTTATGTTCTTTTATCTCACTAGATAATTATATACATGGATATTAACTTACATATATTGGTTATTATACTGGTTGTTGTTTCTTTATAAACCACTAATTTTAAAAACCCAGTAATGATAATTGCTTATGCTTAATTTTCTGTGATAATAAATTAATTTTATTCTTTAGCTTTAATTCAGATATAAAAATGTTGTGTTATTGCCTTTTTTATTGTTTGCTAAATATTTTATTTGCCAACTTACAGTCTTAAAACATAAATCTCTAAAGGCTGATTTATGTATTTTGTTCACCAATTTTTAACATATTGTTGTATATGTTAACATATATTCATTATTTAATTAAAAATTTTAATTCTAGATATTTTAAATTATTATTTAATAATATACCGTGTTGTTGTTTTTGATATGATGTGCCAAATGCTTACATTTGGTATTATGCTATTTTAAATAAGAATTTGAACACTAACTATAATATATATATATAGTTAAACGATTATGTTATTACTGATATTAAATTAATAAACTGTTTTGTGTTTCTTCAATTACTAATTAGTAATTTTATAGCTAATTAGGTTTAGGTGTATTGTTGTTAGCAAAATAATAACTATGATTAATTACAATTATAATTATGTTATCTATCTAAACAAATTATGATTAGAAATCAAAAAAGGTTTTATTTAATACCATTGATCAAGGATTTTTTCTTATTGTTTTATGTTGAATAATAAATTAAAAATAATATTTTATGAAATATTATATTTAGTGATGTATAAATGTAGGTAATTAATAAAAGTCTTAAAAAAATATTTTTCATGTTAAATCTTCTTTTTATATTTCTATTTAAATATCTCATATTTAAGAAAAAATTGGTTTAATAAATTTCGACTATGATAAAAAGTTCACCGGTTAATTTGTATTAAAGTTTCAAGATTTCATTTTTAATTTAAATATTTTTTTCTTTGAGTAAAAGCCATGTTGGACAAAAAATCTAGACAGAATGGCGACTACATAGGATGGCCCAATTTTAATTTTATAAAAAGATAAGAGTTCTTTGGCTACTTAACTATTATGAAAGAAACTGATTTTCATTTAAAAATGTCAGTTTCTGTTAATTAAAAAAATTAAACTTGCAATTTTTTTTATAAAAAAAACTAAAAAGGTTTTTCATCTAGTAAAGTTGCCAATGAACTGGTATATCTTTACAAAATTGAAATCGGACTATCCTAAGTAGAAATTTTGGGTCTAAAAAAAAAAAAAAAAACAGACCATATGCAATCCCCTTAATAAATTATTATTTATACTCTTCAAATATAGTTTTGATGTGTGCGATAACATTTTTTGTAATGCTGATAATTATGTACATATTAAGCGTTTATTGTGTTGGGTAGAAAATATTATATTTTATATTATAATTTAAACTATTAAGACCAACTAATTTTTAAGTATTTTAATTACAAATAGTGTTTTGTTTTTTAAAATAATAAACCACTCAAAATGTAATGTATATGAATTTCAAATTTATAGTAAAGAAAACCGCTATTGTTGATCTAATTGGTACAAATAGCAAAACAAAATAATCATATCCTTAAAATTTTGTAATTAAACATGATCATTAAAATAATGATATGTACCTTTGAATGTTGTTTCTGTTATACTTTTAGTAATTGGCAAAAAAATAAAGTTAAGGCATTTCGACCAAATCGTTGTTTTTATACATTTTTCCTTGGTAAATTTTGTTATCACTAATAACTAATTTATGGTAATTGCTCTTTACTTTACAAAAAATGAAGAGAAGATGGGAGAGTTTATTGAATTTACATGAATTAAATATGAACTAATAACTCTGCTACATTTTTTTTTGTACAATTTTTTCATACTCTGATCTGTTTTTTAAAAAACCTAATTCATGTTTTATAAATAAGTACAAGACTATTAAATAAAATGATAGTTTGTTCTTATCCTAATATTTAAATTTATTATTTGGTTTATCCGTTTATACATACATATATATATATTATACTGTTAATAAAATGTTACATGTACTCGGTAAAATGCTTTATTTAGTTTTCAAATTTTTTTTTATTAAGTATAGAAACTAAATTGAAAAAAAGAAAATAAGTACTGATACAAATAATATACCGCCCAAGCAGAAAAAACAATGACCCATATTATATATTTTTTTTTAAAAAGCCATTAATGGTTATTTGCTTGTTGATAAATTGTATTGGTTAGATTTGAAGTTTGTGTAGTTTGGTTACGCATGAAAGTAAACATAATATGAGTTGCCCCCAAAAACTGCGAGTGTTACCTGAAGCTATGCTAAAAGAGTATAATTGCATTGATAGGAATTTAAAATTCTGCTTTTTTAGATTTCTTGTGAAAAGTCAAGTTTATACTACATTGCATTTTAATAAGAATCGGGTGACAAATTATTTTACAAACAAGTTTTGCTGTTTTCGATAATATTTTTCTTTACAATTTATTGAAATGTATTATTGTAAACCATAACTAGTAATCATCATTGATATCTAAACTTTGCCGAAGACGTCTTCCAATTAGTTTAGGATAAGTTTGATTGCGTTTTCGAAATTCTTTGCTTTGATGAGTGACAGCACCATGCTCGAGTTGGAAATCACATAAAGCGTTCAATGGCTTTAAAAGCAAATTTTTGTAACATTGGTCATCTTCAAGAATAGTCAATGCTTCAATAGCCGTTTCCAATGTCGAGAGACAACCATCTGTTGGTTGTGTTCGTATAATATAATGACTCACATATTTATGCATCAATTTTACCTATATACAAAAACATTTTATAATAAATATATAAATAAAAAGAATATATTTTTTGTAAAATAAAATTCTAAATGGGCATATAATATAAGAAAACTTTTGAACTGAATCGGTCGTACTTAAGATACTAGGCCATACACTAGGCTACACTAGGCCATTGATCTGGAGTCAGTTTTGTGCTAGCTCAATAACATATCCATGTTAAAATAATAAAAAATGTTTAATACTAACGTGGGGGATTGAATGAAGTAATGGTGTATTGTTGTAAATAGCTTTAGCTTGAGGCCAGGTACCATCAAGCAAAATCAAATTTCTTATTTCTGCGTCTTTTGGAAAATCTACTATGTCTGTTGCTTTCAATGATGGATACAATAATATGGATTGTTTTGAATTTAAAATATCCCAAAGACCTACATGTCTGTAAAAAATACATTATGAATAAAATGTATAAATGATTATTCTTCTAAATTATATTATTATTATGAAAATAAATGTTTTAAAAGAGCAATTTTAAATAAAAATACATTTTGTAAAACATAAATATTTTTAGTATAGGTACATATCTAAAAATGTTTATCTAAACTGAACATTATACGATTTTTATATTTAGTATAAATATAGGAGAACAGAACTTTATTTTCAAACACAGTTCTTGTAAAATTCATAAAAAAAAAATACACTAAGACTTATTTGGACTACATCATCTATAAAAACATCAAACATCAAATTTTTTCAAAACTGAAGTACACAATTTTTGTGTTGTTTTTTTTTTTTTTTTTTAATTCAAAACATAATAGAAAACAAGCACCCAAGACACCAATAATTAAGGGAAAAAAAAAATTGCAAAAGGCAAAAAATTAACAGCTAATAGAGAACCTCATTAGTATGCTTGTGCTAATAGAAATTAGAGCTACCGATTACACGTGTAAGTAAATACACGTGTAACACGTGTAGTTCGAATTGACGTGTAGAAGTTTGTGTAGTTATAAGTACACGTGTACCTGCAACTACACGTATTCTTACAACTGTTTGTTAGTTTTAATAAGACCTCAAATTTTACGTGATACTATTCTTTAATTAATGGTTGTCACTAAGATAAAGTATTATGGCCATTGGGTCAAGTTAGTGGAATCTCGGGTCCTACACGTGTATTAATTACACATATTAACTTCTACACGTGAATCCGAACTACACGAACCTTGTCCTACACGTATATTTAAAATACACGTGTAGAATCGTTGGCTCTAATAGAAATCATTATCACATACTTTTTTGTGGGAAACTTTTTACCCTTGTAAACAATGCAGCACTCTTCCGACAGACCTAATGTAAGCATAGGAGCAGTCCGTAGACTTCTTTTTTGTTCTGCTGGATGTTGTAACAGAATTATCTTGTATTTTGGTTTCAATCTAACTTTGGGTAAATAGCCACACCAACATACATTTGAAGGCCTCCTAAAACAAAATGTATTTATTATATGAGAATTGTAGGTATGATGTACATTATTATAGATAGTAGTTAAAGAATTTAAATTAAAAACTTACTCGCATTTACTACAAATTTGCCGCATTTCAGGTGGATCTGCTGGTAAATTTAACATATCGCTCCAAACATTATCAGCTTCTTCATTAAAAGACATCTTCCTATAATAACAAATAATCTTTTCTTACAGTGTACAAGTTAAAATCCCTTGAAAATTATAATGTATCATTAATAGTCATATTATGATAATTAAAAAAATAAAATAAAAATGTATTATGCCTTACTGGTTTTTTAAATTAAAATTTCCTTTATATTTAAACTAATAAAAGTATACAGCAAAAACCACTGCCATGCAAAATATAGTTTCCTAAAATAAACAGCAATTATTATTCTTAAACTATAAACATTAGTTCAATATATTTTTTTTATAAGTACAACATAGATTAAAAATAAATAGATAGACTGTTCCATTAGATTTTTTGGCAGTGCCGTTTTGGACCAGATACTACATACAACTTTACATTTTAAGAGTCCATTGGTTATCTAAGTATTTGCCGTGGTCTTCTATGTATTTTTAATCAATAGTAATGAAAATTTTAGACATAATATTATAATAAAAAATTAGATTAAGATACTTACACTCAAAAATTGATCAGAAACATGAGTATCGGTATCAGAATCCCAAATACAACGAGCACCGACTTTAATACCTGCACCCGCACGTTCACCAAGGACCACTTGTACCATCAGTTTATAACGACTATCGACACATTGTTCTAAATTAATAAAATAATTAGTATGATATTATTAACTTTAAAAAGAGCTGGAATATTAGGAGCAAAAAAGCTCCTATTATTTTGTTTCACTACTTTTGAATTGTCTTGTATGTTATTTTTTTTTAAACTATAGTCAAAAATAATATTCACAATAATAATTTTTAAAAACTATATTATGTATTATTTAAAGTTGTCACAAAGATTTTGATTAAAATAAAAAAATATGTATGTAAAAAAACATACATCACGGCCAACAGGCATTAGTAGTTGAGAAACATTAGATCAAGAGCGGAGCCCTGAGGTTTGAAGGATTACAAAATGTTGCCAAAAAAGTCAATTTTTAAACTATATAAGTGTTAGTACATATTTTTTAAGCAACCTAAGAACGTTAAAAAATGTAAAAAAAATTCTAAAAATTCATTTTTATTTAATAATTTAAAAACTACTAATTTTATTAAGTTTATAAATTCACTTAAATTTTCAATATAAAAAACTTGAAAAAAAAACAAACAATACAAAAAAGTATTTGCAGTTTAAAAAAAAAATTGTGTTTTCCAGTAATTTGGAAAGCAAGTCAAATTCTCATTGTAACTGCTTTTTAGTGCAAAAAATGCAGAATGATAAAAAGGGGTTATGGTACGGCTAAACCAACATTTAGTGCAGTCTTCGCATATTCAATTTTTTTGCTGATCATAATAGCCTGTACAACTACAAACTAGGGTTGGGCCTATTCGGATATCCGAATTATCCGGATAATGCGGATACGGATATCCGAAATCCGGATAGTTTCGGATATTCATTTCATTTTTATAAGACAAATATTTCTTAATAATATACAGTGTTTTTAAACATACCGAATAATAAAATAATGACACCTAATTAAATTTTACTATCACATGAATGATTTTTAGATATATCCGTGTCAGTGGTTGTTAACCGACTATTCGGACTCTTTGCAGAGTTGTCACGACTGTTTCGCTGCCGGTTAATAACCACTGACACGGATATATCTGAAAATCATCCACGTGATATTACAACCCGTAAAAATTTCAAAAAATACATAAATTTGAGTACTCAAAAAAATATATTCGGCTGGTTAAAAATTAAATGAATATCCGAAACTATTCGGATAGTTTTTAACTATTCGGATAATTTTGGTTCTACGGATAATTGAAATATTATTTGATATCCGGATTTCGGATATCCGTATCCGAATTATCCGAGTTTTTTTTAAGATGTTTGGGAAGAGAAAGGGTTATAAACTATCAAAATAAGAAAAAAATTCTCATATGCAAAGACTGTATTAAAATTTGGTTCAGCCAGAGGAATTACACAGATAGGTTAAAGATACATAGATACAAAAAAAAATCCAGTGACCAATAACTTCCTCTTTCATTCTTTTAACTATAAATAAATTATAAATCTAAATTATGTATTATAATTTGGAACACCATTTTATTATTTTATATTGGTTGGGGTTGTGATTATTGCTCATGAGCATGAGCTCCCATAATAAAAATACAACAGTTAATAATAATATAGTTTTTGACTCAATCAAAATAAAAACGGGAAATAAATATTTTACCTTTAAGGCGATCTTTGACTTCACTGGCAATCGTCTTGCTTAATGTTTCAGCTTTAATTTGGTGATAATTTTTATCTTTTAGATGTTTATGTAAGGTTTCTTGAATTATTTCTTTAGCTAATATGGTTTTGAACCTAAAAAAAAGAATGATAATGATCTGAATTATTTTTTAAACATTTGATATAATCATTAACTTTAAACATTTCTGTAAATAAAGTAACTACTAACTGAAGAGTATATTTTGCCGTCAATAGAGATTCTTATTCATATCTTAAATGGGTGGAATGCTGATACCAGATTCTATTTTTGCAATGATTGATGAGATATTTGAGACGGCAGTAAACTTACATAAAATCATTCACATTTGTGGTTGTGTATTCTTAGATTAACAGCTGTACCTATCAGGTAATAGGTATCTACAACCAACTTATTTTTTTCTAAGTTTAACAAAAAGAGGCTTATGATTAAAAGCTATTAAATATCTGAGATCAATATTGCTTTTGCTGGTTTTTTCTTCATACAGAAACAATGAGTGGAGCTGTTGATCACGTGCCCCCAAATTGTTAATTAAAACAAATTAATATTAAAAAAATTGAACAGATGAATACAAATAATTCAATACAATAATATAAAAATTATTATTACTTCGAAAATTATCATATTATTATTATTATTATTATAATGCATGTTACCATTTTATTACATTAATAGTATAATGTATATAATGTGTATAATGTACTCCTATCACAATGTTGATCAATGCAGCATACTGGGATTATATGGCATTACAGGTGTTTTAAGCACCAATTATTTTCAAAGTTGAAGTAGTTATAAATTTTTAACAAGAGGATTCCGCGGATATATGTCTTCAGATTCATAATGAAAATATTACAAAATAGTAATGAAATTGGATGAAAAAAGTTGTCTGGTTAAGTAAATTTGTCCCGGGATAGTATACATAGGCGGAACTAGAGTTTTATATTTGAGTGTGCCCTTTCATTTATGACCTTTTTTTATAAAAAAATGTTTAACACTATGCATTTTTGTTAAACTTAAATATAAATTTGTCCATATTTCTTTATTTAAAATTTAAAAAAAATCCAAAATTAAAATTAATACATATTAAAAATATGCTATATAAATAAAGGTACCTATTTTAAAAAATGAAAAAGAATAATATTAGCTTTAAAACGGTTGTAAAAAGGCATTACATGATAATAAAGTGTCATCAAATACAATGTTGTAATATTTCATAATATGAAGAATAAAATTATATACCCTTTACTATTTTAACCCCGTTTTCTGAAACAATTTTAGTTTAAACAAATCTATCAATAAACAAATTAAAAGAGCTACTATTGTCTAATGGTATTTGGCACAGTGGTTAAAACTGGCACATCTACCCTATTCCAATAAAATAATATATTTACTAGTTAATTAATCATTAGATTCGATTTAAAACTTACTTTTGATTTTGAGTTGGTCTGATTTGAAAAGTGTCAGCCTGTGTTTTCTGATTATCGTTTACCAGTTCTTCGCCATTTACTATAGATTTACTTGACATAATTTGAAAAGGACTATAATATTATAAAACACAGCATATACGATCAATATAATAAACAAAAAAATAAATAATAGATTTTTGACTACAAAAGAAATAAAATAGGTATTGAATATTGACTTATTAAATAACGTATGAAAGTTGAAACTACAACCAGAGATTATATGAAAACAGATTGTTCACTCTCGATGTAAACAAAAAATGAGCTGATAAGCACTCCACCGAAACCAGTGTGACCATGTCAGCCGGAACGAAATTATCGAACTTGTATTTACCACAAATTATATGATTATTTCATATAATCTCATATAATTTCATATAATCACAAATTATATGATTATTTCATATAATCTGTGTATTTATCAAATTAAATGTTAAAAAAATAATAAATGTTATATCGGTAATAATATTGATCCCGTCGATAACACTCTATCATTATCTCAAAGACATTTCATTACTAACACTGATATATATATATATCAGTGTTGGAAAGATTGCATTTATTGGATTTCATTCCTTTTTAGAGGAATGCAATCATGAATGTATTACATTTAGTTTTAAGGAATGAGGAATGGGAATTAATTAACCTTATGTCGGAATGTGAATGAATTCTAAAAAAAGAAACACTTCATGGCAATTTAGTAATTTTTAATTGACTGTAATTTACTAATTTATATTTAATTTATGATATATTTTATACATTTTTTCATAGCAAATGAACAGATTGATGAACAATAAATAATCAATTACTAACATTTTTTAAACAGTTTTAAAGGAATTAATTTTCTGAAAAAACGAATGTCTTACATCAGATGAATCACCTGTAGTTTATACAAGGTGATCTTTTGGTTGACATTATTATTCTGACCAAAAAAAATTAAAATTATTAAAACATATTTTTATTTTTAAATTTGTTTTCATTCATAATACTTAAAATAGCATCTAAGTCTTTTATACAGTTTGCATTTTCAGAATAATGGAAATGGTTCTGGCAAAACATTTTTTTTAAACGACCAAAAATGGACTGGTGTCGAATTTATATTACTCCCATTTCCCACCCCCTAGGATGGTTACAAGTTTTTTTTGTTTTTAAGCCATAATTTTGGGACCTTTAAGTTGAAAATTTGTCAGTTGTTAGTACTCATATGTATCCGTAACATGTTAAACGGAAAACAATTCGGCACTTCAGTTTTTTATACTATTTTACTAACAATTATACTATTTTATTTATGTGAACTTTGTGATTTATTAATTTTTACTAATTATTTCATGTTCATTATTTTTTATTTATTTTAACCTATTAGCAGGCGCGTATGCGCATTTTGTACGCCAAATATACTTTTAAAGGCACGACTTTTATCTGAGTAGCCTATAGAATTAGAGTAAATAAAAAATTGGTTATATTAAAACACGTATAACTAGGTATATAAATATGCAATACTTTTTTATAATAATTTGTATTATTTTATTTATAATTATTTTTTGTTTATTATTTTTGAATTGATATTATTTTTACAATAACAATGTAATTAAATACTGCGTGTCAATACTATTCATAGTTGATTAATGCTCTGTCAGTTGTCATGCCCTATGGTGGACAGCTTACTATTTCTCTATGTTAGAAATAATTAAAATTGTATATTAATAAGTATGGATATGTTATGTTTATTGTTTATAACGCATTATATTTTTACTTATTGGGAATTTTAAAATGTCTTATTATTAAATGTATTATTATTTATTAATTGTAATTTATTATTAAAATTAAAATTATTGCCCTTGGATAAGTCATACTATATAGTGCGTAAGATAATATAAAACAACTGTAATTGTAAGAATAATATTATTAAATTATTATTATTATCATTATGGTTATTAATATTTATAAAATGTTTGGTAAATACAAGAGAAACATTCTGTTTAACTCAATTATTTAACAAATGCGAAAGCCCGCGAACACGTTTAAAAACAAATTCCCTTCAGACGGTCATACTGATTTTGGCGGGCCAATCATAGAGCCTTATTTGCAGTCCTATTGTTAAAGGCCCGAGTGAACAATCTGTTTTCATATAATCTGTGCTACAACTATGGCAATTCAATTCTAACAATTTTTATGATAACGATTTTTAGTATTGACCGCAGTAGTTACCGACTGGTAACCTAAGAAACATCATGAATCATAATTTCTACCGCTAGAGGCCGTCCCATATACCGTGATTCATTTGTCCGCCGGGCCGGGAATTATTAAATATTAGCATATTACTCAATATATTTAGTTATTACTTATTAGTTATTTCATATACTTTGGCCATCCACCATGGTGTGATTAATATAATTACGGGCTGGTCAAACTTATTTTGTCATTTCGAGGTGTTTTGTACGCTGATTACGAATCTGAAGTCAGAACTTGGCGGACTCCTCTAGTTCAAAAGTTATAGCTAATTGAACTTTGAATTTTTCCACGTACATAACAGTAGCGGTAGCGGCGGTCGGTGGCCGCAACACCATGCAGCTGTTGTCGGCGACGCGAATCGCGATTGAAAAACACAGCTTTTCGTTTCCAATTCGTTATCAACAAATTAACATGATCATAATTATCATGATTAAATATTATACCAACTCAGTTGTAGTAAGATAACGACTACGAAGGGCAGGGCAATAATCATTTTACGTACGGTAACAAACGGTTACGTTCGATTAGAACAGGAAAAAATTCCTTTTTAAAATGAATACTGTGGCATATTTGCCATCTGTAACAACTGTGAATAAGTGTGTAAGTCGAAGTTTGGTCAAAATTGACAAATACGCTAGGATGTAGTTCGAAGTGCCTAGCACACTTTGAATAAATGTCTTAACTCGTTGGACCAACAAGAAAACCTTGAGAGAAATGTGAGTTCCTGATTATTGCATGCTGATTTCTGGCAGCTGGTCAGTTTAAAATCGCTCCCCTGTAAAATCACTGAAATCGACTTACACACTTATTCACAGTTGTTACAGGTATAACCTGACTTCGTCAGGATGGCGGCTTACGCCCCCAAACTCCTAAACTGCCTAAACCATAAATGTGATTATTATGTTCATAGATTAATTATTATTAAAATTTGAAAATCAGTTGTACATTTTATAAGTAGTTAATTTAGTTGTTATTATTTAAATTGTACAGGATGTCCTATGAAAAAAAAATAGTACTATAGTACTATGTTTATAATGAAAGTTTAGGTATGTATATTTGTAATATATTGTATTCACTTTTAGTTTAATTAATTACTGCTGCTAACTATCTTACTATGCTTTTTAATGTATAAATAAAAAGAAGTAGATTTAGGTAATACTCAATGTATTTTTTTTTTTTTTTTTGTAAAAAAACAATATAACTCAAAAGTGTTTATGGCCTTACATTTGTTATAATTGTAGTTTACGTTTATTAAGTTATTATTTCTTAATTATCCAATTTCTTATGGTTTAGTGGGTTTTAATACATTGAAATCTTTAATGCCAGAATCATTTTCATCTTCAACATCTGTTTCATAATTTCCATAACTATTACCTATAATTGCCGAATTGTTTTGTTTAAATTCTTCTTTGAAATCGTTGACATTATCAAAACCATCATCAATAGCTGTTATTAAATCGGTTTGCTTAGATTCTTCAAGATTATCATCGTCGTGTTTAAAAATATCTTCAATAATGTTATTGATATTATGCTCTAACTGACTATCATGTTTAGTTGAATGTGGGGCATTCCTTTTTTCCATTAAAGATTGTAGACGAAACAATTTTTTAAAATAAATAACATTAGGTTGTATTAATTTGTCGAAACGGAACTCAGAATCGGGCATTTCGAAATCGTTTGTACTGGCAAAATTAATGGTCCACGGCGGCTTGTGAAAGAAAAATTCCCCTTTTTTAGGCTCGATAATGAACCACGTATGACCTGCGTCATTAATAGGATTAAAAAATTGTATCCTACATACTCTAGTTATCGGAATGTCTTTGCAGAAACTCAGTAGTTCTAATATTTCATGGTTTCTTTTGTAATTCCTTCTATAACATGTGGCCAATTCCGTCTTATCAGACATTTCGGTTACTTCTTCAGATTTTCCTTCGTACACCACTCCGAGCATTTTTTTCCTGAGTACACTTCGAATTCGTTCGCATTTTTTCCACGTTCTTTCTTTGCGCAATAGTTTAGTGTCTTCACCGGAAACCGATACCTTCTCGCACAGTAAACCAACAGTACCTTAAACATTTTTGAATACAGTTTACAGCTGATTAACGGGAAACATAAATATTGTTTATTAAGTGTATTTATTAAGTTTATTGTATATTTAAGCAGTATAATTGAAAGCGGACGAGCAGTGATGCGAGAACATTATAGTGTTGTGCACCACGCATGCACAAATAAATGGTTTACAAGCATTTTGGTTCGTTTTGGCCTAAATTGAAACCCCTAATTTTTTGAAAGTTTTCCACTAATTCTTATATTCCTCCGCGATCTTATATATTTTGAAATTGAGTGGAACATTTTTATGGAACTCGACACTTAAACAAATGTTTTGTTTATGTTCAAAAATAGGATGAGTTTTTATTTTGAAAATCGTTTTTATCGTTTTACTCCTAAACCAAAAATAATATCACATTTTACTATGACAATGTTTATTTTTATTTTTTTAATACAATAAATATTTATTAAATATATATAGCGTTTTTGTTTTTTTTTAAATAAAAAATGTTTAAAAAAAAATAGGTTAGATCCGTCGACACTGTATTAAAAAGTAAACAAAAACAAATTTTGTTTTATTATTAGGACATGGGTTTTTCATATTTTGAGTGTAGATGGTGAATGATTTTTTGCACTGCATTCATTATAGAGCGACGGCAGCCTCATCCGAAAACACCATTTGATGAGTCGACACCATGTTTTCCCCCAACATTTTAAAGTATGATTACATTCCAGAAAATATTAATTTCAAGTTATTTGCTACTATTTTGGATTTTGATGCTCTTTTTAACTTTTAACCGCAAGATCCTGGACATGATCACCCCTAGCCCCCACCTCCCTAACGACGACCCTGGCTACATATGCGTTTCAACACAGTTTTTTCCTTTAACCGAAATCCACAAGCAATCAATCGTGGTAATTTTCTATTTCTTTTTTGTTTATTAAATATTTGTCTTTTTCTTCTCCTTTGCCTTCATTCCAACTATCTGGAGTCGACCACCCTTCTTCTAAACCTTCATTCGACACGATCTTCCACATAATTTTAGCATACGCAAGTGTTAATTTAATATTTGAACTTAAAATCAAATTTGAATTTCCTTTCTAATTTAAAGAATCTATAGACGTTTTCATAACCATAATCGGATCACACATCGTGTCATACTGTTGGAAATTAGAATCGCTATTCGTGAGGTTCTCTCTTGTTGGGTTGCACTTCAGTAGCGTAAATAAGTGGGTTCAGAGGGTACAATTGTTTTAGGGGCCCGAAAGCTATACTAGTTTTTTTAAGTATATATACAGGATGTAATGTAAAGTTCTACCGAGCTTTAAATGGACATTTAGGATGCTCTATTGGTGCAATAATAAATGATATTCATTTTTTTTAACTTTAAAACTATTTAAAATAGAACTCGTATCTTATTAAAAAATGGACTTACGAAAAAAATAATTATAGAATAATTGAATTCGAGAGAAAAAATCTTGTTGGCATGTGACCATAACGCATGCGACACATCATTTAGGGTTAAAATGTTATTCTCAATTCAGTGGTGTCCTTAGAATTATTTTATATTAAATGCCTTATGATGGTATTAGTCACATAACGGCCACTCGGTGACCACCCTGTGGATGCATGATACCAAAAAATCATGTTACATATCAATTCAACATACATTTTGTACCCGTGCCCAAATTTTAGAGTTACGCCACTGTTGCACTTGTTTTAACAAAACATTATTGGTTGCGCAATCCGTAGTTTGGATCAATTAGTATAGCGTGCTCTATGATAAGGGTTTATGAAACCAATAGTCTTGTGAAACTTAGCATTAGTATATTTATTATTAAACAATAACAAATGCTTATGCTTGTATAATTACCGCTTTGTATTTCTTTTATTTCCGACGCTGTAAAAAACATTCACAAAAATGTAATATTTATTTAATATGTTGTCAGCGACAGTCCAGAATAAATTTTAAATTTAATTAATAATTTAAATAATACATTTTTAATCCCTCAGTTTTTGGAGCGTTCGTCATTAAAATTGCGTGAGCTTTAGATTCAATATTTTATATTAGATGTTGCGTAGTTTTCTGTACTTTTTTATCGTTTATTTGCTCAACATAAAACATATTACAACTAATTTATAAGCAGACGATTTTATGTAATAGCTTATAGTTTATACAGTTATATAATAAACCAGTAACTAGTATAGTACTAATTACAAATGAAAGGTATAATAATATTATACATAATTTATTAAGTAAAACTTACCTTTGAACGCGAATAAATTATTTGTAAAATACCCAATTGTCAAAAATGCAATAAAACCATAAGGCCAAATTTGCTGATGCATCTTAAATCTATAAAATAATCAAACAAATATACTCATAAATGTAATTAATAATTATAATCCTAGCTTTAGCCATGTACTTAATATTTTTGTCGAAATTTTGCTCAATAAAATAAAAAAATCAACAGTCGACACAGAAGTGGTCTTTAATAATATAATTCAGTGCTTGTAAATTATGTATAAGGCTAAATTATTTTAAAACTTGCCGATTTTTTAACCATTGAACTGATTTTTTTTAGTTAGGTAATACGTATACGAATAATGAACATATAGCAGGTTATGTAGTGTATAATAATATTCTATTCTAAATTAAATTTTTAATGCGGTCACTGGATATAAAATATTTACATTGATTGTAGTATTGCAGAGTAATGAAAAGTATACTATTTTACACGATGATAATTTAATTTAAATAACAAGAACACAATACATTTTAAAAACATAGTTTTAAAACATAAAGCACAAACAATGTTATCATCTCTACTGCATACACGTACAGTATGTTTACAGTTACTACTAATACTAAACATAAAAACAAATCTGTATATTTGTACATGTGAATTGAACGTAAGTCTATAATTTTTCTTTATTTGTTGACAATGAATGTTGTTAGTGACGTAAACTCTAGAACTAATATTGTATACAATAATACATAGCATAGGTACAAACTGTGTCATCGGCAATCGCTATATCTTTAAAGGATAAAAAAATTGTTTAGTAATGAGGTCTTTCGAAAATACAAATATATAATACACAAGCTGCCCTTACTCCTTCTTTGATAATTCTCTCCAAAAACATTTTTATTTAATAACCAATGAATTAAGTTATTTATGAAGTACATATTTTAATAATTTAATTATACCTAATATTATAGCTTCGATTCAAAACGAAAACGGTATTGCTTTCATAATGGTGTATTTTTATTAGCTATAGTTCGTAGGCGAGAAGTTATTGTTTTTACAAGTATGGTTTATAAATATTAGTGATTCAGTAAATGTAAAACACATTTTCACGCATTTCATGGCCTAAAGCAAACATTTTGAAATTGTATGTTATAAACCAATAGTTTTGTATTATCAAGACGCGTGCGACTGTTTTATTAGTTTCGATGTTTGTTATAGTAGGGTTTACAAGTTATGTAAAATAGTATGTTATTGGTAATAAGTTTTTTGTTCCACCTGAAAAGTTGGGGAAACTGAGATATGCTACGATGGTTCTTAAGCAAGGATTTTATAATTGGAAGTTGGGTAGCTAATAAGAAATTCTTGTTATCTTCCCAGGGCGGCATTATATAGGAAGACAGTTTTCCAATTTTTCCATATTTTAATAAATATTCGTACAACATTTTGTATATTATGTTTTGTGTTTAAAAAACGTATTAAAATATATATTAAAAAAGAAATGTACAGTTACTACCAAAAATAGTAGGTACTATATAGGTCTTAATCTTCTATCCGGCTATCCGGTGTCTTATTTCTCCCAAACATCTACTGTCACTAGTTAGTGTACTTTCTAAATATTTATACTGTTGTACCTGATCAATTGTTATGTTATTCAATTGTATATTAATGATGGGGACTCTGCTCTCTTTACTTACTACCATGACTTTTGTTTTCTTTATACTAATCTTTAAATGTAGCCAGAGATTGTTGCATGTCTTTCGCTGTCTATGTTACCATGGGCAATGTCATCAGCAAATCTGATACATTGGATTACCTTTCCATTTATTTTTACACCTTTAGCTTTTACTTTGAGTTCTTGAACAACTTCTCCTATGAATATATTAAATAAGTAGGATGTAAAGTAACAGCCTTGTCTCACTCCTCTGCAGATTCTGGCTGTGGATACAGTCTTCTATTCTAATTATTGTTTTTTGGTCTTTGTATAGTTCCATAATAATTCTTCTGTCTCCAATCCACGCCAATTCTTTTCAAGGTGTTCATCAAAGAGTTCTAATTTACGGTGTTGATTGCTTTTTCTAGATCTATATATGTATATCTGTTCATATTTAGCCTTCTTTCTGCAATGGGCATTGAAGAATTACAATAAATAATAATTATAGAAAAATAAAAAATAAAATGATAATATTAACTTTTTCTTAGAAATCGATTTTTTCTTACTGAAATAAAAATAATATTAATTCTACTTGTTTTTTGTTTTTCTCAAAAAATACCGAAGAATTTTCACTTCCCACGCACGTACTCGTAACACACGGTTTTATATTGTTAAATATTACATACGTAGAATACTAAACTTATTAGGGATTTTTATAAGTCTATACTTAGATTTTTTTGTATAAGGTATGTTAACATAACAATTACAAAACCATAGGCGTAACTCTTAGGAAAAGGAACGCTAAGAGAGCTTAACACCCCAATAATTTTTTTGTATCGATTAGTTCTATAAATTTAAATAAGTATAGAGTTCTCGGGGGCGGCTGCCGGCAATAGCCGTCAGTCTCATGTGGCGATGCCGGCTTCTTAGGAAGCTGGTGCCTCCGTCTGGGGTAACGAGAGAAATCTCATAGACCTTTAGCCGGGGTGTAGGACTTGTGTCCACATTCGGAACTTCTGTACATGCCACCAATAGAGAAGATTGAAGCAGCCAATTTCCGCCATCTTGGTGGGAATTAGAGCCTTATCACGTGAGAATAATACATGTTTATAACAATCACAGATTTATATAATATTGATATAATATTATATACATATGTATATAAAATGCATTGATAACACACATAAATCCCACCAGGATGGCGGACCGTCGGCTTCAATTCTTATCGCTAGTTAGCAATCTAGTTTATTATATTATATATCTGTGTTTCGGTTAGAGTAGCGTCACCTTATCTTCTCTACATCGTGATATACAAGCATAGAACGCAGTAGTTATTATCAATAGGTTTATCAGACACACTGTCGAAATATATTGAGATGCTAAATTCCCAAAAAAATCTCATTTCTCATCATGATGATTCTCGTTTCATTAATCATTATCAAATAACAACATATTAATTATGAAATCAAACGTACTTCACGCGTTACTTCTAGTCTAGTAGACTACAGTTCGTTTATTATATAGATTTCGTGTGAGAGTAAGTTGATCAACTGATTAGAATTATACTCCAATTTTAACGTAAATAAAGTTAACCGGCTTCAGCGTGGAAAATGATGCACGTTTAAATGAGTATAATATTGAATCATGTCCAAAACACTATCGTCTATATTAAAACAGACTGTCACGTGCGTGCGATTGTACAGTAGTACAGTGATCAAAAACTGTGTATCGCCAAACGAAGATTTAGTTAAACGTTTAGAAACCGTTTCGTTGGTCGGTTTCTCAGAAAGTAGTGGGTTTGACGTTTTAAGTGCATCAATTGAATTCGCAGATTCCATAACGCGAATAGATACCAAAGGAGTAAAGCCACTAATCACTGTACTAGAAACTTGGTTTGTATTTATATTTTGACTTTTATTTACTATATTATGATAATTTTAGTATTTGTGGCACCACATTTATATTTTAAAAACCAAATATTGGTTGGTAGATTATACCTACATCAATTTTGAAAATATTTATGATAAAAAAATCTAGTTGATAGTGAATAGTACTTTTTTAATACTATTCTTATCGTATGGATTATTTTTAACTGGGAATTGGTTTAAAAGTCACCTGCCAGAGAAAGAGAGATCGCCAATGACTATGTGTCGAACTGGTGACATTGTCCTTATATAATTCTTATCTGTATTTGTTTTATATGGTAATATATGATATTGGCTAATGGTTTATACCTAAAATATTTCTATGCTTGAGACAAAATAATCATAGTAATTATCGTATACCTACCTTTTTAATTCTTATTAAAAAAAATGTATTTTATAGCAATTTTTAATTTAAGTTATTATTAAGCAAGGGTGTTGTTAAAATAATTTGTATATTTATTTATTTAGTTTATAAGTCTATAAATATTTCAATTTTGTATGACTAAAAATAAGTAAATGGTAAACACTAAACCTGTATTTAACTATTTAATGAATGGCACTACAAAAATAAGATTTTTATTTTTATTTCTTCTTAATAATCACTTAAGAGTTCTTTGTATTTTAAGTGATTTCTTAGTTATTTTGTCAAGGCGTTAAGCTCATAAAAAAAATTATTATTAAGTTTTCATAGCATTATATATTAACTACCTACAATTATTTAAGATCAAAACATTTTTTACGTTTATATTTTTAGAGAACATTGATAATATGATTTATATACTATAAGAGACTTTTTTGTTATTCAGATTTTGGACACATAACATGGGAAAACATAAAGCACAACCTTCAGAAAAGAAAATTAAACAGGCTAAAGTTATAACAACAAAATCTAAAAAAGCAAAAGTTAAGAATGTAAAACAATTCAAGAATACTAAGAATATAAATAATACAAAGGGTGTTGCTCAAGATACCAATGAAACAACTGATAGTGCTGTACTTGAGCTTGTGACAAAGCATCCAGAACTGAAACAAACATTTGAGTATGTTTTATATTCTAATAAATATAAACATACATTAACTGATGTATTTAATATAATAAAAATGCTTATGGGAAAATTAGAAGAATTACAAAATCAAGAAGTTGATATTCAAAATATTTTTGAAACCATTAATCTTAATTATAAGATTAGAGGATTAATACAGAGTACTGCTATAAATCTTTCTCATGTAGTGCAACAGTTAAATATAAATGAATCTACCTTTTTGACTTTTGCTCGTTGCTTTAATCCTATTAACACCATTAATAGTAATCAGAATGAAGAAACAGTTTTATCTAAAGAAAATCATGTAAATCATGAAATACCTTTACATTTTGAAAAACCTGCTTCTATCAGAGTTAGGTCGCAAGCAGAATTAAATAATGATTATCCTATGCTTGATAAAATCAAAACTAAAAATGGAAGTATGTATACTAATTTGACGAAGAAGAAGGGCATATTTGGTTCAAAAGATACTGTTGTACTATCATCAGATGATGAAATTGATGAATCTAGGTATTATGACAAGTATATAAAGAGAAGTTTATGGGGAGAACCAAAAAAAAGTGACGCTGAAGATCTTGAAAGTTATGCTATAGGATCAGATTTCACTGAAATTTTATCTGATGATGGTTGTAATGATGTAACTCCACCAACAATAGAAAAACGTGAAAGTACTGTTCCAAAATCTGTCTCTGTGCATAAAACACCAATACAAACGTCTAAAAAGTTAATTAGACCCAAAATATCTGATGAAGCAATAAATGAAGCAAGAAAATTAGATATCCACCATAGAAAACGTTTACAAGAACAAAACTCATTAATTTTGAATATTGTAAAAAAACTGAATCTTCAAACAAATGATATTGTTTTAGAATTTGATATAGCAAATCAGAAGCCATCTATTATTATAAATAAGGAATTGGCTAAAGTATTAAAAGCACATCAAGTTGAAGGTATTAGGTTTTTATGGGATATGGTTTTTGAGTCTGTAGAAAAAACAAATTTGACTGAAGGAACTGGTTGTATTTTGGCTCATCGTATGGGCATTGGTAAAACATTACAAATAATTGCTTTAATATATACAATACTTTGTGAACCAAGAATACATATTAAGACATTTTTGATAATTTGTCCCCCGGGATTAATTTATAATTGGATTGATGAAATATATAAATGGTTGAAAGATATTGACAAAAGTGAAATATTGAAAGTGTACGATTTACCGAAAACCAACAAACTATACAACATTACTAATATAGCTACTTGGAAGACAAAAGGTGGTGTACTTGTACTTAGTTATGAAAACTTTAAATCACTGGTTAATTGCAAAGAAAGTGATTTACGTGAAGCCTTCTGTCACACTTTAATTGACCCTGGACCAGATGTTGTCATCCTAGATGAAGGACATTACATAAAAAATACTCAAACAAAACTGTTGAAAAATCTATCGCTGTTAAAAACCAAAAGGAGAATAGTATTGACAGGTACACCTTTGCAAAACTCATTGAAAGATTATTTTACTCTGGTAGATTTTGTTAAACCAAATATCTTAGGAAATTACAATGATTTTGTATCTATATTTATCAAACCTATTGATTCTGGCCAATTTCTAGATTCCAGTGATGAAGCTGTTAAAACAATGAAGGAAAGAACATTCATACTGCATAGGCTTTTAAGAAATACGGTGCACCGCATAGATGACAGGAACTTAAAGCCATTATTTACAGATAAAATTGAATATACCATTGAGATTAATATGTCTGAATTTCAGTGTGAATTGTATGAGAAATTTTTACATTATGATCAAAAATCAAATGATAAATCAAATGTATTTTGGCGTTTGCATGTCTTAACACTAATAACATTGCATCCTTTAACATTATATAGACTTATACATCTCAAAAATTGTAAGCAAGCCTCAGATCCGGGGATGACAAAGTTTGATGAAAATTTAACTAAAAGTTTGAAATGGGTAAGTGATTATAAAGAAGATCCAAGATTTTTTGAAGCTAGACAGAGTAATAAAATTACTTTTGTGTTGTCTATAATTGATGAATGTCAAAAGAGAAATGAAAAGCTACTTTGTTTTCTGAAATCACCTCTTGCCATGGATGCATTGGAGTATTTTCTACAACAAGAAAAAAGTTGGATTTTAGGAGAACAATATTTTCGCATGGATGGTAAAACTCCGTTATCTATTAGAAATCAAATGTGCGAAGCTTTCAATACACCAGAAAATCCTGCTAGAGTTTTTATATTGTCAATGGGTACTGGTGGTCTTGGATATAATATGGTTGGTGCAAACAGAGTATTATTGCTCAACGCTTCATGGAACCCAAGTGTAGACATACAAGCAATTTATAGATGTTTGCGTTTTGGACAAACCAAAAATGTGTTTGTAAATAGAGTTTTAGCTAAAGGAACTGTTGAGCCAAAAGCATATTATCGGCAAATTTCAAAACTTGGAATGGCAAGTAGTGTTGTTGATTTGCAACATTTCAATAGAAAAGTTTCATTTAGTCAAACTAATGATTTATTTACCTTTGATTCGTCTAATCGCTATAACACACTAGTACCTAATACTAAAGATCCTGTTTTAAATCAGCTGATCAGATGTAACTTAGGGTCAATTAATAATGTCAAAGAACATGATTCCATGTTTGTAGAATCTATGGAAAGTCAGTTAACAAGCGAAGAAAGAAAAGCTATTTGGTTGGCGTATAAAAATAATGAATTAGGTTCAAAAATAATAAAATTTAAAGGTCCAATGCTTCAAGAAATTGAACAAGTTATGGGAATAAAAGTCCCAGAAAATATTGGTGTTGGATTAGAAACTAATGATTTTCTTAGTATATCACAGAACAACTTGGAACAAGTTCCTTTACCACAGTTTTTTAACCAAAGTTCTTCTTCATATTCATCTTGTAGTGAATTTAATAGAAAAAAATTATCGACACCCACTGGAACTCATACAAATTATCGTGCGTGTGATAATTTAAATAGATCATTTGATGAACCTATACAAAACCAATTTAGAAATTTTCAAAATAAAACTTTTAGCCAACACAAAAAATTTCCATTTGTGACACACCCGAAAAATACATTTAGACATCACCAAAATACAAGTGCAAGAGGAGCAGTTAATCAGAATCCGGAAGTAAACATTCAACCCAGAAACTATTTCAAGCAAACTGAAGAACGAAATAATCTGTCAAGAGTTTTTAATCAACAAGAAAATGGACCATCACGGGAGACTAATAATTATCGTGGGCATCAAAGTCGGTACACTAGTTACCACAATCGTACACATTACAACAATAATATTCATAATCGTTCTGGAAATTCCAGATGAAAAGAAGACTGATACATTTTTTTTTTAAACAAATAATGTATATTTTCCTTAACTACGTTCAAAGCACACCTGTAAAATATTCCATAATATTATACTGTTTATATATTTGTTGTTTGTACTCGAATACAAAAAACAATTCAAAAGTAGAATAAGTTTTATTTACCATTCATTAAGGTTTTGTATATTCTTCAGCTGTTTTATTATAATATAATATTATTGTATTCAGTATTTACTTAAATGTTTTATTTGAAATGTTTGTAAAGGTTAAAATACTTATGGGTACATTTTATATTAAAAAAAAAGTGTTGATTAAGACTGTATGAGTGAATAGTAGTTGTATAGTTCAATCTGCGCTAAACTACTACTACAAAAAAAAAAAACTATAGTGGCGTTATTTTTGATTTTACTATATTAGGTAACATTTATTAATTTTCCAAAAAAAGAAGTATAGAACTCTTAATAGGGTGAGGTTAGGTCTCTATCTCTAAAATTAACACATTTTTATATAAATATAAAAATTAAGAGTACCTATAAAGGCCAAAAAATATTAGCTTTATAAATAGAATAAACAAATACAATGTATGAGCTAGTGTTAGTGTTAAACTATTCAGAAAATATATGAGATTCTCTACCCTAGTTATACCACTGCTGATTTAAAGCTACTTACTAAAATAATACTAAAGTTTAATTATTTGTAGTTGTTAAGAAGAAAAACAGTACTTTTAAAAACGACAATGTATAACAGGAAATTCAATCTAAATGAATGTTGAGTTGAATTAAGTTAAATTTTAAACTCTACACTACATATATTTTTTTTTTTATTTATTTTACTAATTTCTCTTTATTTGTACTGTAGGATGAAGTAAAATACATTTATACCTAAAATAAAAATATTCATTCTACAATTGCACTCTTATAATATTATTTATATCACACTGTAGTGTAGGTTGTAGGATTAAATCTAAATTGTATGATACATTTTGTGATTAACTTTTTTCGCATCTACACTGAGATTTTTTATTTTTAGCAATGCAGATAAGTATGCAGTGGTGTAGGATTGTGGATATTATTTTTGTAAATAGTCAGAAAATTTCTTTCTAGTCGATTTATATAGTTACACTCTACTTAGAAACTTAATAATACGTTTGATGAGTAGTCAAATAATATTCTCTTAGCAAAGTAAAATAATAATAAAATGTTTAATAATAATAGTAATATATAAATACTTGTATATACTTAATGTACTTTTCTAACTACTAAAATACACCAATAAAGTATGAGTTTAAAAAAATTAACCAGACTAAACAAAAGTTTCTTTCCCTACTCCAAAATTAAATTATATAATTGGATAATTAATTGCAATTTATTACATAACAAATCGTAATTTTTATAATTTTTAATTGTTGACGTGAGACATGTCTTTGCTCTCATTGATTATCTTAGAAATTGTTACAAAGTAGTAAACAAATAAATATGTGACATTTGAAAATACGCATCTCCTTTTAACTTTGTTTATCTAGTAATGAATTGGAGTAAAGACATGTCCCTTGTTCTGCAACTTTTGTATCACGTACCTAAATTTGTTTCAAGCTGATTTACAATAAAAAATATAATTTACAGGAACACGCCGCTTAGACAGGATGTAGCATCAGATAAAACTACAAGAAAAGATATATTACTGAATGCATCATTAGTTGAAGAAGATTACTTTGTTGCGCCTGCCTGCCAAACAACAACTGTAGAAGATTAAACACTTTTAGGTTATTTATAAAAGAATATTAAACTTAAAAATAGTTATGTTGTACAACTATATTCAAAAATCTTCATAATAGTTGCTTACTTTTATAGTTCATTTTCATTCTATTTATATCACAATATGAGATTAATTAATAAAATACTATCAATGTGTGAAGCATATGATTTTATAAGGCCAGTCATGACCAATAATCATGTTGATTTTGTAAAATATGGTGCCTCTGGTGAGCTGTTACGTCAAAACATTAGAAATGAATGGTTGTACAGTAATGTTACCAGTAGAGATGAAAGTGTTTTTCAAACATGTTATGGAATGCAAAAAGACCGGTTTGCTGATTTATTAAGTAAGACATGGGCCATAAGTGTATATTTATTTATGTAACTAGTTTGAATAATTTTTTTACTTTCTGTAAGGTCTGAAAGAGCCATATACAAATGCAAAACTGTTTTGTAACAGTCAACTACCATTTAATATTACTGATTCTAGAAGTCAATGTGAACAAAAAATAGCAGATAATACTATAATTAATGAAGAGAGCAAATTTTTCAAGTAAATTATGTTTCCTAATTATTTTAACATATTTTTTAAGTTCAATAATTTATATTGAAGCTTATAAGTCATAGGTACCCAAATATTGCCTATCTATTTCAGACATTACCCAAAATACTCTAATTCAGGGTAGGTCTGAGTACAATATTTCTTTAATTAAAAAAAAGATTATTCAGTTTTAACATAATATAAACAGATCGATAGTTTAGTTAAAACCTGTTAAATTAAATTACATATGAGTATAGTAGTAAATTATATAACTGGAGTACTAAAGTTAACTTTACAGTAAGGTCAACATTGTCCTATATTTTTTAAGCCTATATGGATTTAATAAATATTAACGTACACATACATAACTATTCCTTATAATAATAGTTTTATGTTATAAATAAATTTAGTCCCAGACATTATACAAGACTCAAATGTACTGCATTTTGTATACCAGAAGAAGGTCTACAGTTTTTTTACCATTGGCAGCGACAGCGAAAGATTTGGTGGCGTAAAGTAATAAATATTTTTTTTTAATTTGATTGACCTAAATTAATATTAGTTGTAATTCTTGTGTTTTATTAGTTCTCAGCGAACCCTGGAAAATTTTCATTAACTGAAATATCGACTGATGATACTGGACAAGAGTGTACTGAAATTAGAGCCGAATTTGATTGGGGCCAAGAAACTATTGAAACCATCAGCAATGTTGGCTCGAAATTCTTTGATAAACTTGATCCTACAGATCGAGAAAAATTTCTTGTAAGTTTAATGTTAATGAAATTTACTATTATAATTATGATTTAAATTGTCTTTTAAATTTTAGGCGAGAGCAGGTAAAAAAAAGTTGTTACCACATATAATTGAAAGTGAAACAAGTCTAGAAAAAGCATCTATGGTTTTCTTGTGTGATGGTTATGCAGATTTACCATATCACAATGAACGAAGAGAAACATTCCGTTTCCACAGAAAAATAGCGCCTTACAAAATTACATTTGCTGCATCTTTGTCAAGTAAATAAATAATTAAATAGAATTTATGTTGATAGATTATAATAATCATTGAGTTGATTATTTAATAGATGCTAAAAAAGCTGAAGAGTTGAGACAGTTATCTGTTTACCTAGGCCTAGGTTTAAAAAAATCTGGTGTATCAACATTGCTTGCACCCAACATAGCAAAAAAATCACTTGAAACACAATTTACTGATGCTGATTGTCTTGGTATACCTTATACAGCTGTGTTGAGTGAGTCTACATTAGAAAATGGAATTATGGGGCTTAGGAGTATAGAAACAACTCTAGAGGTATAATATAAATTGTATAACGTGTATTTAAACTATGAATTTTTGCTGTTATAAAAAATATAATGAATATGTTTCAGGAAAAGATTCATGTGGCAAATTTAACTTCATATGTTGAACTTCTCATAAAAAATTATTAGTTACAGATTATGATTATAAAAAATAATAGTCAGCAGATATTAAACAATGTTACATTATATTTTGTTTTTTAATTAAATTTACATATGTATTCATTTTTTTTAATATCCATCACTCATCAGTAAACAGTTGATCTAACCTAAGAGATATTTAAATTAAATCATTATAATTTATATATTACATGATATTGTATGTGTGATTATTAGTGTGTATACAAAAAAGTTATATGTATTTTTATACTTTATACTCAGTTCAGTGATGGGCCAAGAGTTCTAAAAAAATAAAGTCGTGACTGGTAGCACTCTGTGGATAAATCGTGGATCAAATCACGATAAACCGACTATTATCATAAATGCAACTGAATAATAAAACCAGGATCATAAGTGAAAGATAATTAAGATATTAAGAATAAGATCCACAAGGAGCGCTACCAGAGACTGACTTTTTCATGTTTTTAATTAAGAACTCTTGTAGCCATGGTTGAAATATATAATTAAAAAACTGCAACCAGTCTTTCTATTGCATTTCTACTCCAATAACCCCGTTTATTTAAACCATGGCATAGATTAAATATTTATGAGCCATGAGCTATAGATAATAAAAAATCGTCGTTGCCGCGAAAAAACCTTTTATGTACCAATTTTACGATTTTGAGGTTTTGGTATCTCTGGATACAGAAAAAAATAAACTATCGTATGATAAAATCTCCAACGTGCTATCTCCATTGTACTATTCTAAAATAAATAAAAATTTTAAAAAGTTACAGTGTATACAGATAAAAAAAAAAGCCCACATCATAGTAAAACCAATACCTTCACTGCTTTGCATCGAAGCTGAAATATTTTTCTGGATTTTTGTGTAAAAGACTTCAAGTGGCCAAATTATGTGTTTTTGGGGTCGGTGATTGCAAATTTAATATTATTTTTCAATTTCACTCAGCCAAAAAAAAATTAATTAAATTAAAAGCTAATACTAGTTCGAGTATCAATTCTGCATAGTTCTAAATAAAATGGCTGTAATGACTTGATAATTATTTTTTAAGATTTTAGGCACTTTTGTTAAAATATACGAAATCTGCGATAAACACAGTTTTCCGGCAATTAAAGAAAGAATGTAGTGCCGAATTGTTCCTTCGTTTAATATGTTATGAATACATATGAGTTCTAACTACTGACAAATTTTCAACTTAAAGGTCTTAAAACTACGGCTAAAAAACCCAAAAAATAAAAATCTTGCACCCCCTAGGAGGATGGGAAATAGATATAATTTAAATTTGATACAACTGACGTGTGCGGGCGCATACCGAATAAATATTTCTTATAAATTTCAACTCGATCCGACTATTTTTCTCGAAATTATAGCCAGTTAAGCTAACTTAAAAACTCGGTATGTTTTTTCAAATTTTAACTGTGAAGAAGTAAACTTTTTCAACTTTTACCCCCCCCCCCCACCCAAGTATCAACTAGATGAAATTTGTGATTTATAGAGTTACTACTCAAAGGAATTGGTCCAGACTCCAGTATTAAAAAAGTTACAGTGTGTACAGATAAAAAAAAGCCCACATCATAGTAAAACCAATACCTTCACTGCTGTGCATCGAAGCTAAAATAAAACCCATTATGTATTACCTACTATAAATCGTTTTGGTTTTACAAGTTTCAGCGTCTCCTGAACAATTAGGTTTTAGCAAGTGGGAGGTTTTTTCGCGGCAACGACGTAATAATAATACGATTTAATATTCATATAATATTAAGAAAATATGCATATTCTGTACTGTAATTATTAATTATAATTTAGGAAAGAGAATATTTCATTTGTCTACAATTATATTATCCTTAATGTTAACCTCGAATGACGAATCATCGTTTAGTGTTCTGTACCGGTCAATTTTGATTAGTCATTACTTAATGTTCCAATTCATAAATTGATTAGCGACTATTTTAATGACTCGTCTTAACGTGATAACTGATAAGTGATAAGGCATTTCGGTTTTAAACGTTTAGTTGCTGTATTTATACTTTCGTGAAAAAGTACTTTTTGTCCTATGAATTTGTACGTATATGTTATTTACTCCAAAGCTTAACATAACATTTCACTGGTATGTATATGTAGCGTACATCTGTATGAATTATTGTGAATGTGTAACTTTATAAAATAAAATAACTAAAAGTACAGCATTTTATATTTACGACATATTGCACTTGCAATGGAGGAATAAGTAAATTTCGATTTTAGCTGGATAGTATCTCCTAAAATAAATGATCGAACAAATGGAAAATCTATATAATATTTATTATATTAATTGCTAGTATTACAAAGTAGAACTCTTATTCTGTGTTTGGGAGTCTTAGTTGGGTTGCAAGCTATTTAAATTGTACACTAGGCTCTAGGGACGTGTTATGAAAACTCTTATTAACCAAGAAAGGTTAAATATAAATTTTGTATTATGTAGTATGATCAAATAAATAAATAACCTAAAGTTTTATATTGTAGAAGATCTACATATATAGGTGAGTGGCTCTTATTCAAGTTGTTTTTGAATTACGAGAAATGCACCCTCTAATTGGTTTCAAATAGTTATTGCAAAATCCTCCACTATAATTCCTTTTTTATTATGAAAATGTTTACAACTGTTTACAGCTTATGACGGTAGTTAATTTATTTTTATTTATTAATTTAGTAATTATTTATATACATTTATCAATCAATTCTTATTGAATTGTTTTCTATTATTTATTAGGTATTTTAACTTGCTAATAGGTTCTAGTAAGTGCTTAAAGTAATACATGTTCAATGTTGTGATATTATTATGAAAATGTTGTGTATAAAACATACAGTAAATTAGTCATATGTTATAGCTTGTATACATTAATTTATATATATATATATATATTTACTTTATAAATTCATGACTGATAGATTGGTCGTTTTGATGGATATTAGTTACTACTGTTATAATCTGTAAACATTTTCATAATGAAAAAAATGTGTACTTTCAAAAAACTGCAAATAATAAGTCATTTAAGTTTTTAAAATGTATTTAACAAATACATTTTGCTCCATTAATGAACAAGGAACAATTACATTTTATTTGTTCCGGAACGATTACTACAGGGAGTCATAAACGAACCTGTTCTAGAATTAGTTCCGAACCCTTGATTTAAAAAACTGATTTAATGGATACCATCAAAAAAATCAGGTGGGCTATGAAATTCGGAATTCTTGTACATAAGAATTTTTAATATCACATCTCAGAAAGAAATGTATTTATTTTATTCCTAAAATTGTCTTTTTTAAGATCTGGACTGCACTTTCACACGCAGGTTATGATTTAAGAGGAACAAGACAACTTATTGTGTTAACTGATAGTAGTCCAGCTAATCTAGGGTGATTGACAACTTTGGTTATAGTACTTAGTACCACATTTTTTAAATGTCGAAATATGTTTAGAATATTTTTGAAATCCATTTGTTTTTGTGTTATAATTTATCCATGAATTATTTCTACTAATAAGTAATTTTTTTACATAGGCCCAGTGAACAATCAAGAAGCATGGCGGAAGTAAATACTAGATTTTGGTCTTTAGTAACCAATTATTTCAAAAAAGATTTTAAAAAACCGGAAGATAATTTAACTGTACTAGTACATTGGCTGCTACTACAGAATGATTTTCAAGTTCTTAACCCTGGCAATGAGGTATTTTTAAAAACTTTTTGTTGATATATAAAAATATTTTATAAAAAGTACTTAAATAACATAGGTTATTTGTATGAACATTGAATCCCTCTTGTATATTAATTTGGGTAATAAATTATGCACGTTTCTTCTGATTGTTGGTGGGTTGTTCTTTTCCAATCCTGCACTGCTGATTTCTAATACCTTACCATATAAGCAGATTATCTGTCTGTTACACAGTGTAGTATAATCTGACCCTGATACTTCTAGTACTAAGTTTTACACAACTTTAGCACACCGTAACATTATTTATGTGCTAATAAAAAATGCAAGGAGGGTAAATGACTGACTAGACATAGTTTTAAAACAATTTTTTTAGGTACAATTAGTTATACTGTTTTATTTAAATATTATCCTAGCATTGATCATGCTTTATTTATTTATTTAATTCACATACCACGACACAACCAAATCGCTAGTGATTTGGTTCACTGTAACCGTCAGATGTTATAGTCTCTAGTCTTCCAGGAATTAACACCTCAACTGAAAAGTTTTGTGTGATCAGCAAGCGATCTTTATCACTTTCGTTTCCTCATGAAGGCAAGTCCTTTCCATCATAGAGACCGCTCCCACGAATCCAACCGCAGACTGGGTGTTAGTTGGCCGCCCCCAACACTCACTTCAGTCATCCTATACTACTCAATTCACCTGGCTTTCGACCACAATTTGCCGCTTTGGAGGCATATTGACATCCTCGTTCTACATCGAACTAGTCACCTCTCCTCTCGACTATTTATCTATATTAGAACCCAGCAGGGCTAGTGGTTGGTCCATACTATGAAAAATTAATATTTTAATCTATTATTTCCATGTTATGATGTAGAATGGAATAGATGATGATGATCAACCCTCAGATATTTTGCCAGAAAATTGGTCACATGGAGAAACGTATAAACTTCGTTATACTCGCGACAAGAAGTTGTTCATTTTAAATGGTGTTAAAGCAGGAGAAAGTCTCATTTTTAATTTCTATGTAAGTTTAAACTAATTTGTCTTATTAAGTTGCACACATTTGTTAAATTATAAATTAAAAAAATAGCACAATAATTATAATATTCTTACAATATATAAATTCTTCTGGTCTTACATGTTTTTTTTAACCATACTGTTGTATTTATGCACTGATTAGAAAATAATGTTAAACATTAAATTATTAAGTTGTGGTTTATTTTTAAGGATGTAGAAACAAAACAAGTATCAAGTGCCGCTCTTGGAAATATTGATACAACTGTACACTGTCTCAGTGATTTGAACACAGAATATTTTTTAAATATTGTTGGTCTGTTACAAAAAGATTTAGTTGATCCTATGCAGAAAGTGTATGAGGATAGAAAAGCAGCAAGCACTCAAACTCAGACACAACCAAAAGAATACGAATCTACGGAATCACCTCTCCTGTAATTATTATTTTAATACCCTGTACTATTATCTTAGTCGATAGGCCGAGAAGTGAATAATTATTTTTTATTTTCCAATAAAAATTAGATATTAATGATATTTTGTTCTTTTTTTAGTATTTCAAGAACACCACCGTTTGGGTTTGGGCGTAGAGATCCTTATCCAACTTATGGCATGCCAGATATAGATCCGTTGGGTGGTTTACGTCAACCAGGCGAAGGAATGTTATTTGATCCTGTCCCAAGAGGAAATGGCAGAGCAGGAATGTTTCCTGGGTAAATCACCAACTTTCATGATCACATATGATTGATATTTATTTTACTAATAATTCTATTTCATTAGAGTTCACCCAAGTGCACGTTTTGATCCTATACATCCACCAAATGCAGGTCTGTTTGGCAATAGAAGACCAAATCCTGATCACATGAGACCACCAGATTTTGATGATAATTTGTACATGTAGGATGGCTGTGATACGTATTTTTTAATTCAATTTTTCACATAAATTGTTAGGTAATAATTAAATTGTGATTACTTAAGATTTTATTTTGTAACTAAACTGTGTTTAATTTCTTACTGATTCAATAAATCTTTTTAATTTTTAAAAAATGCATTAGTTAAACGGAAGTCAAAACAATAAATAACTCATTTGTAAAATATATTAAGAAATATGAACACGCACAAAAAAAAAAATAATAATAATATTATGAAATTTGAACATTTAAGTTATAAATAAAAAATTGTAAATCGATTACTAATCACATGGCGGATATTGTTTTTTTCCGTATTCTTGTGTTTGGTTATCTAAAATAAATAACATATGGTATTTGATTGAAAAATATAACACTAAATTTTAGTTTGATACACTGGTTTTAAGCGATCTGTAAAAATATGACTATAATAACAAGTAGAGCTTGGATGTTAATGACTTTAAATGTATTACATTATGCATTTCAAAATATCAAAATGTGCAATTATATGTCTATATTGAAATCAGCTAAAAAAATTTAGCCGAGTTTTCAAATAGTCGACTTGACATATTATAAATAACATTTTACATAGGTTAATTATTTAAAAAGGTGTTATACGTATCATGGTAACATTGAATTACAATTATTTTGGTGATGTTTTCAAATTTAAAAGAACAATGACGATTATTTTAGAAAAGTTTGGACAATATTTTATAACCATAACTTTTGTTAAATACTTGTCCCTTTTTTCGTTGATTTTTTTTAGCTAAATATATTATGCTTTAACCCATTAACGCCGGAGTTCTTTTTTTTTTAAATAATTGGTGTCTTGGGTGCTTGTTTTTATTATTTTTAGAATAAAAAAAACACAAAGTTGTGTACTTTAAAATTTGAAAAAATTGGATGTTGCCATATAGCAACGCTAGGCGCTAATAGGTTAAAGTGTATAAAACTTCCAGTTTATTTTATTCAAAAATGAAAATATTAAAGACTTAAATAAGGAAATTAAAAATTAAAAAATTAGAATTTCAGAGTAATTAATTAGTATTATAACCATCTTTTGTTGTACTATACAATTATTAGTTGTATACACAGTAAATATTACAATATGAATATTAACATTTATTGTTATATAGTAAGTATATTTCATTAAATATATTAAATAATTAACAAAACAAATAGAATAGATACTTTATTTTTTTATAAAAACACTTTAAAAATTTTACTTACCAATTTCATTAGCATTCTCGCTTTTAACAGGGATATATGGTTGTGAAATAGGGACAGTTGTTATTACAGCAACCAGTTCATCATTTTGATCATCCCTTTTGAGTAATAATACAATATCATAAATATTCTATTAAAAAAATGAAATATTTTTTTTTTTTTAGTACTTACCCAATGCAATGCTTATTATTATCAATAATATTAGAAACAGGTATCTCAGAGTGAATGTCTACCGATCGCCGATGAATATCATTAGATTGTGGAAGAATAGGCATTTGAGATGCTAGATTTCTCTGGGAAATTTCCAAAGACAAAGGCATCTGAGGTGTCATTGTGATATCAGGATTAATGGGTGTTTGAGGGTTTGATACATCAGATAAAACTGATACCGCTGATATAATTTGATTTTGAGGATCTAACAATTTTTAAATTACACAAAGAAAAATTCATAGTTTTAAAAAATATTTTGATGGATTACCTATTTGTCTACTGTTGTAATGCTGTAATAAATCTTCAGACATATTTGGTAAAAATGTATTAACTTTGGTCCACGTAGCATCCCAGAATGTTTGCTTGCTGTGCAACTCTTCTTTGCTATTTGCTTTACCATTTAACATCACTAATAACATATTCTTTAATGTTTCTGGAATAGCTTCACTCTGAGATTAAAATTATTGAAATATAAATAAAAAATAAAGATAATTGTAATATGAAAAACTACTCCAATGTCTTCTTCTCTAATTACCAGTGTATCGCTGTTATCAGAAATCATAAATTTGTGCATTAAATCTAAAACTGTAGTCCATAAATCCACAAATGTTGGTAACGATTGTAGTTGAATTAAATGGTGTAAGAAAACCTACAATATGACAATATGAGATTATATATACGTCATTAGATTATATTTACGTCATTTTATTTAAAGTACCTTAGAAAGGAGTGTAGCAGATCGCATTTTCGTTTCATCTAATCCACTTGGATCGATATCTTGACCACATACCAAAAGTCTGTTCATCAATGGAAATAGAACTTTGCGGAAACACGCTTCCCATTCATCACCACTTAAAGTTACTAAATCATGCATTAATAGTGCTCGTTGCAAGTAAGTTACTGCACTCATTCTTACCTATTAACAGAATGAGATTTGATAAAAACTACAACTAAGTAACAATGATAGTATTGTTATTTAGATATTTTTTTTTTGTTATCTCACATCACGACGACAGTCACAACAGAGGCTAGCGATTCCTTGTAGAAGTGGACACCAACCGTGATTCCATAAGGATATGAATTCTACGTCAGGATTTTCTTCTGCCCAATAACGGTAAATATCAGCAGTGCTCGTATGTAATGTATGCATGAGATCCAATAGCTATTAGTATGTTAATTTGTAATTAACACTTTATTTTCAAGAATAATTAAAAAAAATAATAATAATAATAAACTAAAATCACTTGGATAGAAATTTGAGTATAACTACTGGGGATATCTTCAGAATCGCTGTCATCGGCATCATATGGATTAGAATTCTTAGACTTATTTGATTTTTGTTGCAAGCGTTTTGGCTTTTCACTTAACTTTTGACGCATATTCTTATCTCCTATAAAAAAAACAATATTAGTTTTATGACTTCTGCTTAAAATAGAGCCTATTCATATTATACATACTTGTTTGCAAACTAGCTCGTGCAAAGTTTTTAAGGACTGAAACACATTTGGCAAAGTTGTATGGTGTAATATGTGCAATATTACGAACCAAAAATGACAAACATTCACAACACTTCACAAATGAAAATGGATCATGACGAGTAAATATAGTATTTTCAGCCCAAATTTCCAACATTCCTTCATTCTGTAAAACCTTTATATGAACAAATTTCATAAAATAATTATATATATTACGTGTATATTTACTTTTGACCATTCTGCTTGATTTTTATCAGGCGGGGAAGATGATGGTGTAGGTATATTATTCACTGATTGAACATCTAGTCCACTGTCATCATTACTATCACTTACATTAACTGGGTCGTTATCGATTCGGCTGTCTATAAAAAAATGTTGTATAGTTCTTTTAGAAATGATATTTATTTATAATAGGTACCTAATTGATGTTGATTATTAGGTATGACACCTGCACCCACATATTCTAAAATTGTTAAGATTAGAGCCCAATCGTCTTTAGAATGAATATTTGGTGCACACATTTTTAATAATTCGTACATTCCAAATGCTATTTGTCTACCGACAATTTGTAAAGACTCTGTATTGAGCTTCAGTAATATACTTAGCGATTGTAAAACCTTAAAAATAAAAAAATGAGAGATAAAATATGGTTAGGCTATTAACAACAAATCTATTTACCATTGAACTGATTTCTTCTCGTCTCATTAAACGAGATGCTAATCTCATTAGACCAACAACTGTACGTTCTAAAAGAAATTTGTGTTTATATTCAATGGCACCCATCATAAGATTACACAAGTGTTGTCTCACTTGATCCCACACAGTGTTGACTCTATCTCTGTGTATTTAGTTTTTTAAATTTTTTTTAGTAATGAAACGGTCATTATTTAAATATTATTAATCATATTTATCTTAGTTATTTATTATCAATACCTATTTTGTAAAACTATTTTAAGAAGCATTTCCAATAAAAAACAAGCAGAGTTTTCATTATCTCGGGACCCCAATAATAATATTCCATCAGGTTTATAAAATGTTCCAACGAGGGCCTAAAAAATGTAAACTTTAAATTGTGCTTATATAGGGTCCGGCAAAAAAACCTTCTGTATTTAGAGATGGTGGTACAACGGTGGAGGGAGTATCGATCGATAGCGGTATCTATACCATTTTCTCCGACCTAACTTAAACCAGTTTGCTAGGAACCATGAAGCAATTTTGAGAGAGTTGTTTACTGGACGTTTTCTATCTTTGCGAAGAGACGTAACCTGGCCCCCAAGGTCACCCGATTTATCACCTTGTGATTTTTGTCTTTGGGGACTTAAGGAGGCAATCAGCCATTACATTGGAAATGACACGAAGAGCTATGGACAACTTTGAGGAACTTTTGCCGCGTGTGTGAGCTGTTGCTTCGTCTTGTTGGGACCAGACTTCTCTCTCTTCATGGTTCCAAGCAAACTGGTTTAGGTTACATCGGAGAAAATGGCATGGATCCGCTATCAATCGATACTCCCTCCACCACAACTCACACAGCACCACCACGAAGTACGGGAGGTTTTTTTGCTGGACCCTGTTTATTACTCATAAGTTATTATAAAAAATGTATATATATATATAAATAAATAAATACTTTAACTAAAGCTTCTAAAGACTCTATGGTAAGAAATTTTGATTCAGTAATCAAACTTTCCAAACGGCTTTCGGACACACATATTCTAGAAGCCTCAATCAGTTCTGCTTCATTTGGTGTTTGTATTTTGTGACTAATTGGTTCTAATTAAAATTAAGAATATAAATTAGTTTTGGTTTTTATCAGTAAAGATGACTTGCAAGTAACTTACCACCTCCAGAAGCTATGTATGAGTAAAGAGAACTAAACAACCCGGATTCTGATTTTTGAGATCCTGGAGGGATTGCTTCACGAATTAATGAAACTTTGCCACTTAATTCCAAAAAATCTTCAGACTAATAGACACAAAATATATCATATTAAGCGTTTCGTCACAAACAATGAATAAAATAATTATTACCTCGACTAATATAGTCGGCAACAAGTTGCATTTATATAGTTGCAAAATTATGTCAAACAAGCTTGACCACCCTTCACGAATAATATCACCATACATGTGAGTAACACTGAAAAGGGTGCGTGCGGCAAGTTGAGATTTTGGATTACTACCAAACAGTATTGTAACATTTTCCGGACACTAATAAGTTTGAATATAAAATTTAGCAGTAACTATTACTAAAAGTAAATACATTTTAATGTAACTCAAACACTGCGAAATACTTACATCTGGATTATTTTGCAAATTAGTAAATTTGCATAATGACATAATCAAACTATCAAATTCTGTACACATACCATAATGTGCACAAATAAAAGCACATTTTCTAAAATATATATAAAAAACATTTTGTGTAATTATAAAATTTTGAATGGCAAATAAACTAGTCTCATCAACCATACCTTAGACCCAAAATAGTTCTAGTATAAACAGCTTGATGGTTAGACTTGTCGAAAATAGAGCTCAGAGCAGATAAAGTTGGACCCCAACATATAGAAAATAACTCATGATCAAAAACACCACTAGGTGCTTGTATATATGTACCGTCTTTGCCAGCTGCACGACGCAATAACACTTTCCACAAATAATTTTCTAATACAGCACCACTTTGTTCAGCTGGCATTACTATTTCTTTTGATCTAGAATAACGATATAATAAATTGAACTGATTGCAAAACCAACAAGTATTAAAGTTTTACTTTATATCTTTGAAGATTTCTTCTAACATAATTTGGTCAAAATCTTCCCCACCATTCAATTTTTTTAGATTACGTTTAAATGACTCTGGTGTCATGGGTTGATCAATTCTTCTGACATTTTGGTTGTGCTGGTCAACATTTAACATTATAATTGCATAAGCTAACAAAAACGCACATTCTGCATTTGCAAATGGTTCTCCATTACATTTCTGAAATATTGCACTTAATTTTTATATAATTCTGTAGAGAAAAAATTAAAATAATCTTACATGCCAGTGTTCTGTAAATGGTTCCAATACAAATGATATTAACGGTGACTCTCCCGGTAGTCTAAATGCTTCCAAATACATTCTTAATGCTTCATCAAGACGGGTTCCGTATAAATCAAAAGAGCTATACAAAAATGACAAATTTAATCACCAAAAATAGAAAAATAAATTAATCATCACTTTGAATCAGTACTTTATAAAACTATTTAGAACATCCACATTGTTTTTGTTGCTAACATATTCACCAATCATTTTCTTATCCAAAAGTGGATTTTCTTTTAGAAATGTAGCAATTTCAGTGGGATTTAATGGTGTCGAAAGAAGACCATGCTCTTGTAAGAACTCAATACCTTTTTTAGGTTTTGTGTTAAACTTTTCTGTTCCTGAAGACAATAACTGTAATATAAAACAATAATATTGTCTACATTACATGATTTAATGAAATACAGGTTAAAAATATTTTTATTAATAGTATCTTATTATTATATTTGATATGTATTGTATGATAATTATTTTGACTCACTACACTTCTTGTAAAGAAGTATCAACATGAAATATCTTTATAAAAATAATACCTTCTTCTTTCTTTTAATAGCCATTAGTTCTTCATGACTTGGAATGTTAATGCCAAAATCCATCTGCCATTTCTCTACACGTGTTTCAGGTTCTGATTTTTGATCATCTGATACTAAAATTGTTTTAATTGCTTATATTTATAAATGTTATAATTATTTTACTCAAATTATAACTTACTATCATAAGTTGAACTACTTTCTGATTTTTGAGTAAATTGTGTTCGATTGTGACAGTGTCGTTCAATGGAATCTACCACAGCAAGAAGTGCATCCATTGAAAGTAAATGTATACTGTATATATCACTTATTGGAAAAATATTCTAAAAGAAAAATCCAAAATCAATATGGTAAGTGTCATAAGGATCTTTAAACTTGATACAGTTTGTATATTTTGTTAACTTACTTTAGATAGTAGTTTAGTAATATCATCATACAGATCTGAGCTATAAAGCCCACAATCATAATTTAAATATAGTTCAGTTACAAGTCCAGGTATTTTCCAAAGTTTTACAAGACATTCTAAAATTAAAATACATTATGACCAATATACATATTTTTAAAATAAAACATATACTTAAGGCTAGTTCTCTTTTTCCATATGGTACTTTTGAATTATCATTAACAATTATGTTGATCAGGCTAGACAAGTAGTATTCCAATTGAAACTTTAATAGTTGACGCATAGATTCAAATACTAAAAAAGCCAGTCTGAGACTAGAACTGAATATCGGCATTTTTTCATAAGATAACAGCTATAAAAAGAATATGTGCATAATTAGTGAAATACTAAATTATAAATTTGATATTTCTTTTATCTTAGTAAATAAACAGTTTGAAACCATTTAAACTTACAGAAATTATATTACGACATAGTTGGTCTTTTATGACGGAGTGCATATTAGGATGACACATTATAGCATAAGCTCCTACTTCAAAAGCTATCACCAACAGATTGAGTCCAACTCCTATCATAACTTCAGTGTTCTGCTGATCATGAGGATCACAAGCGTCCACAAGAAATTTGATTAGCTCCAGAACACAACCACTATTGTATGGAACTTCTAAAGTTGTGAAATATTTGAATGTATTAATACTTTTTCAAATACTATAATTATTATAAATTAAGCAACTTACTGGTATAAGGCATTGTCACCTGTGTTGTAAATCTTACTCCTTGACCATTTATATATTCTTTTTTTTCATTATCAATTGTATTTTCGTCTCTGTTAATATTTGTTTGACCCCCTTAAAAAAAGAAAAAATTTATAAAAAAAATTAATAATTTAAAACATTTATAATTTGTTTACCATTGTTAAGTGAAGGAGTGTCATCTATTGATGGAATGCTAATAGTTTGAGAATTTATATTTTCTGGAAGTGGTTCAATAGATTCATTACCAAAAGTAACATTGCACTACAATAAAAAAAAAAAAAAAGCTTATTTTATTGAAATTGTCCAAGAAAATGTCTACAATTATTAGTAATCGGATATAAACATTAAATATTAGTTACATGATTAATAGGAACATCATGGTCTAATAACTTAACAGAGATTGTGTCAACAGGAGTCTGCACATTTTCAGTACTGTTGCTGTGTTCTCTCAATGGATCACTATAATTTTTCATGTTCAATCCTAATCTCTAAAAAATCATAGATAGTAATTTTATTGCTAAATACTATAATGTAAATTATCAATTATGTTAGTTTAATTGAAAACTAACTTTTGGGAAATTGCCATGTTCTTTGTTTAAGATGACTAATCTTGAGAAAAGCAGTTGAATTATATCTTTTAGGCAGTATTCAGCATATGACCGAACAAATTCTATGATGAGTAATATTAAAAAATAACATCATCAATACAAGTTTTTACAGTATATTATAATTTCTACACACCACTAAGTCTGACTTCAAAACAAAATCGGAAACAGCTCATCATTATTTCACAAACGCTTTCATTTGGGAGATACTCCCCTTCTGGTGACATTATCAAACAATATAAAACTTGTAATGTTTTCATTAAAACGATAGCATCACTAGTCTTTTCTGTGCCTAAAAATCTCGTGTGTGTAATTGCGTCCGCAATATTTTCCACAGTTGTTAGCAATTTAACTTCAGGAACACCTTAAACAAAATTAATTTATGATAAAAATTTAAAATGAAAATCAGTGATATCTAAGTTATTAAAAATCATACATCTTTTAATTAATCCATATTTGATAAATTTGTAAATGGATATCAAAGCTAGGCTAGTTACTGGACCAGTAATTTCTTCACAACGAATGACATCTAAAAATGGTTCTAAAAAACAATAAATAATTTATTGTATTTTAAGTTACAAAAAATCTAAAGCAGTTTTAACAATTATACTACATTAATTAGTAATTAAGAATTACCTATAACATGATCAAAATTAAGTGACATCAAATCTTCTACTTGATTGGTAGCATCTCGTAATTTAAACAATCTCTTACAAGGAGAATACCTTTCTTCATCCTAAAAATGAGTCAACTAAGTAAAATCACATAAAAAAATATAGTTTTTATTTTAGTAACAAAATCATTCATTTTAACAGAAGAAATAATAATTTACTGAGAAAAGATACATTATACTAGGATTTATCTTTTAAGACTGTACAATACATGTACCCCAAACCTAATGCCAATGACCAGAGTCAAGACATTTATTATTTAAATTAAAAAAAGTTTATAAAAATGTATTCTTTACTATTTATTTTATAATAATGGGTTCTTAATAAATGTGTGTCCAATCTAGTATAACTAACCTGGTAAGAATTATGGTCTCTCTTCAAAGCAGAAATTAATGACAACAGCTCACCCTGAACAATGTACAATCCATTTGCTGCATACATTTTCTTCTTCTTCAAAAAAAGTACAAAACTATAGTTAATAATGGAAGTCAAACACTAGGTATATTAAACAATTCAATTACTTTTGAGCTTTATTTTCCTCCTTACTAGCAAAACTTTGACATGATATAGTGAAGAACTAATCTGTTGTCTATTTGTTTTTGTATTAAAATAAAAATATTTAGTCGAAACACCCTATGCTTCAAAAGTAATCACTATAGTTTGTTGTAATAGTTGGTTTTGAATAATTAATAATTAGGAATTGGATGGGTTGATATCTTGATAACACGTCAATAATGATAACACGTATTAAACAAGGATTTTTGTAATGCTGAACTTGTACCCTCTTTGGAACTTGGGCCAAAGCTAATTTTTTTTAAATTCTTTATACAAAATGTAGTTAAACATAATATAATGTTATAATAAATTATAGGTAATATAAACTATCGTTTTATAATTCATTCAAAATGTTGTATAGGTCCCACGGTGGGACACATGACAGCTTAGTAGGCATCGTGTTCTAGATTTCTACTGATAAGAAGTTGAGTGGCGTCATCAATGTTCTCTACATCGTGATTTTGCCTATAGATATGATACGTGAAATCTGAAATTTAGGATTAGAAATTAATTTTGCAACCATCTTTGGCGTAGTTTTGTATGTCGTGCGGTATTAAAGTTGTTGAGTGCACTAACAAAGTATAATTGTTTTCAATTTTAAAGTAAGTTATTATTAAAATTAAAGTAGGTATGGAACAAATTTACTTTGCCGGACATCCATTTTTTTAATAATAAAAATTGTCCAGCAAATTTTGAATTTTGATATCGGAAATGTTCAGCACTTCAGTGTTTCCATTAGATCAAAAGTTATAGCTGTTTAAACTTTGGCCATAAAAATGGTTTATATACCCTACAAATAATAAAAAATAAATAAATAAAACGCTTTTTAGTTAATTTTTAACTAAAATATAAACAGTTGTTAGTGCATTACCAAAAGACAAAATCTATAGGGATGCACTATCCAATATTTCAGAAATTTCACTAAGCAGCATACCCTTATAGTATTCCTTGGTACACTATACTACTTTAACGACATTATTTGTCTACATTTTAGATCCTTAAACTTTCAAATTATTGTAGGTAATAGATGGATATTGAACCGCCCATTTGACAACTGAGCAAGACAAATAATTAAGCATTTGTATATAAAAAAAAATTATAGTATAGGGTGTTCAACAAAATATAACATATTTTAAAAGAGTAAAATATTATGTTAAAAGAGTTTTTACTGAATGGCCATGTTATTGTACTTATTATCTTTACAACTATTGATAGGATAACTTAGTTCAATAAGCATGTTTAATATCCTTTTTAATTAAATTTTATTGCTATTCTATTTTCAATATATTTTTTAAAATATTTTTTTTGTATTCTCATAAGTATTTAAGTCTTTTAGCTTAAACATATTTATATAAATGTAGGATGTTGGGTTTTTTTTAAAATTATTATTGTTAATAATCTATTTATATTGGAATTGTTGATAGTCTGTTTATTATTAGTAGTAGGGTAGGATGTTTAGGGTTTTAACTAATTTATTGATTATCATTTATTAAGTATGTGTTTTTTGATAAGGGTAAAAAATCTTGGAAAAGTCATTGACAATAAGCTGTTTATAAAAACATTTTTTTTTGCTCTTGGGTTAGGTTAGGTTATAATTAGAATATATTTTAAATATACAGGCATTTTTTCTATACATTTTAAAGAATGGCTCTTGAATATTGAATCTATTTACATTCAATGTATTGAGCCAAAACTAACTTACATTTTATATATAAAAAAGTGGTTGTCTGGAATACTAAGGGTAGAATCTAGTTGCTTTTTGAAGTTTGTTATTGACTCTTTACTAATGCAAACATATTAAATAATGTAGCAGTTATCTGTTGCAGTATATAAATAAAAATTGTGCAAAAAAAAGGTGGCAAACTTGGTACAACTCTTGTGGTTGTGTATTATAAAATGCTGATGATGGTAACATTGCTGCTGAAATACGTATACGCTATAGAGAATTAATTTTGGGATTAAGAGTTTATTTAAATATTTATTTATTTGACATTTAGGTGTTATTGTATTCAAATCGTACACACTTTAAAATAAATTTTGTTTTATAATAGTTATTTTTATTTAAACTGAACATTTTTAAAACTATTTATAATATTATATGCACTATCTATTATATTCATTGGGGAGATGCAATGTTGTGCTTGAAAGAATAATTTATTTAATAATTATTATTATTATTAATAATATAAGTTCCATATCTTATTTTAGTGACGGATAGTAGTTGACAATTTATGGGTTATAATAGTTTTTGTTTTAACAGACTGGCTGATTAAGATCATTGTGGATTATACAACTATATTAATAGAACCATTTAGTATTTGCTATCGTTACTAATAAAAATTAATGGGTTCAATTTCTAGCAAAAGACTGATTCCAGTTACAATGGCGGCAAAAGAATTTGTTAATGATGCAATTGCTCACAATCACATTGTTGTATTTTCCAAGACTGACTGTGGTTACTGTAAAATGACAAAAGAAGTAAAAATAATTTTTTCTTTAATTATTGATTTAAAAAGTATTATTGATGTATATATTTATAATTGTTAATTAGATTTTTGATAAACTCAAAGCTAATTATACAGCAATAGAGCTGAATAATAGAGATGATATGGATGACATACAAAACGCTTTGGAAGAAATTACTGGCGCCCGTTCAGTAAGTTCTTAGTGTCTTATTGTTTTTGCGTTATAATTCATAAATATTTATATATTTTATTTTTAAAATTAATTAGGTGCCTAGAGTGTTTATTAGTGGTAAATTCATTGGCGGAGGATCTGATATAAAGAAGTTGAATACATCAGGAAAATTAGTAGAGATGATCAAGTAGAAACATTAAAAGTCAATCAAGTTATATATTCATATTAGTTATTTATTATTCCCATGTGCAAAATTTTAAATGCTTTAATTACTATGTAACACGTATATTATTTTAAGTTTAATTTTCATAATGAACAGGCATTATAGTAATTGTAAGAAAAATATTGAAAATTATATGCATTTAAATTGAAGAATTGTAACTGTGTGTTGTTTCCTTAAAATAAAATTATTTCAATTTGAAAAAAATTTAAATAATATTAAAACCAAAAAGGTAAAATGATTTTAGACTATATTTTGAGTATCTGAATCGACCGTGGGTTGAGCTGGAGCATCATTGTGTATAGCAGCTAACATGGACTCTATATCTATATCACCAGTTTTGTTCTCCTCGCTGATTGCAGCCATTTCTTCTTCCACTCCTTTCTGTTCAGAATTTTCTGCTGTATGCTCTTGATCAACTTGCATACTTTCTTCTTGCTCCTGAGCTCCTCCAGTTTCGTGTGTTTGCTCATGCTGTTCAGAAGTAGCAGGCTCATCGGCTGGGACATTTTCGTTTAATAACATGTCCGTATCAACTGCTCCTTTTTCTTGTTCTTCTGGAACATCTAAAGGAGTTTCAGATTGTTGATCAGTAGCATGATTTTCAGATTCAGCATCTTTACCTTCAGCCTCTGCTTGTTTTTCCTCAGCTTCTTTTTCCTGGTCAAAGCAACCCAAAACGGATAAATAAATAAGTTTATTTATTGTAGCTGTAAATATACCTCATTAGCTGGTTGCGCTGCTTGTTGATTATGATCTTTTTGAATATGTTCAAGACAACTCACTCTGCTATCAAATGATGTTGAACATACCTGGCATCTATATAATCTTTTCTTCTGTTGTGTAGCCTGAAAAGAAATAAAACGTTAATATTAAAATTTACACAGCTAATGGAACAAATAATTCAAATTTTTGTTACTAACAGGTGTTAATGTCTTGGCAACTGTCTGGTTAACTTTTTCACCATCTCCTTTCTTATTCATGTGAGTACGCATATGGAATCTTAAATAACATTAATATTAAAAAGAAAATACTAGCTAATGCATGGAGTGTTGATAAAAGTAATGTTTAAGTACTAACCGAACGTGTCCAAGTTCTTTAGACTGGAATGAACAAAAGCCACATTTATATATTTTCATTTTAGATGCACTATCTTGTTGTTGTGTTTTCAGCATTTTTAAAGGAGTGCTAACAGAGTTATCTCTGATAGTTAAACCACTTGGTACTTTCCTCTGACCTACTTCTAATTCATCCGTCTTCAAATGACCGTTAACAATCTAAATGACAGATAATGTAAAAAAAATAATACAAATGTATTTATATTGTTTGCAAACTGTTACATACATCAAGGGCTTTAACTGGTTGATCAGGCGGCAATACTCCATACTTCTTTTGTATGTATGATAACATAGCATTTTTTACCAATTTCAAGTCGTTTTCAAGTTTATCCATGTGTGTCAAAAGTGATGTACATCTTTTGCACATATGATCAGCAGGAGTTACAATAACCACAAACTCTTCACCCATAAGTTCGGCTATTTTTTCAGGATATGGCACATTACTATGAGGAGTAATGCTTGAACACACGCGTGTTCTTTCCCCATATAGTTTAGAATCGCACAGAAAACAAATACCCATTACGTCTAAAAACAAAAATTAATCTTTTAAATAAAAAAAATTGCTTATAAAACAAATACAATTTATGTGTTAAAGCTTAAACACATTAATTGGTATAATATTTTGTATCAAGTTAATTTACTAAGAAAGTAACAAATTTCATTCAAATTTTAAGATGAACGTTCCGTATTACATGTTAACCATGATATAGCTATATAGGTATCAGACCTAATATAAACTTTAAGTATGTTGTACAAAAGTTAAAAAAAACATTTGTTAAAAAAAATATTGAAACTTGAGTATTTTGCAGTTACTCCCACTTGAATAGATTGACTGGTTTGCCAGCTGCACATTCAATCTTCAGGGCTGTGGTTTGGATGTTGCTCATATCATGTTTGTCTATAGACTGACCCAACCGTTGGCCGACTAGTCAATCTTTTCAAGTGAAAGTAACCGCAAAATTTGTAAATAGTTTAAATAGTTAGTTATAAAAAGAACTTCTAAAACATTAAATATTGCTTATAGATAAGTTCCTGGAATATAATTTTTGCTCTCAGTACGATAGTCTCTAATTAATGCTTATAAACTATAATAAAATTGATTTTATAAGACAATATTTTTTTAAAGAGCTTTATTTTCAAAACCCATTAGATACTGATATTGTAAAAACGTAATTAATACGTATTATTAACACGTCGTTAGTAAACATGTGAGCGTGGCGCTCACACAGATAGAGTTTTGAACGCCAGTCGCATAAATGTTTGTTAATTAGCTTGATTCTATTATTACCTTCAAACAATAAGTTTACAAATAATTACAAAAAAAAAAAGAAGCCGCAAACTAAATTTCCTCGGGAGTTATTAGTGAACAAAGTTGACTGTACCTATAAAATGAGCGCTGCGCTCACAGTTTATTAACTGTAATGCAAGGCGACGCGATCAGAAATATAGTATAAATATTAATATTCTACTTGATTTAACTTAAAGTCGTGAATAAGGATGGCAGGTTACCGAGTATTTTGGCACTCGCTTGGCGCCGTCGCTTCGCTCCGCTAAACCAAAAATATCCTAGGTTTGCAGGCTACAGTCTAGGAGGAGGTCACAGTTTTAAATTTAAGTAAAATATAGTATGATATTAATATCTACAAGGTATTCAGCAAAAAAAAAAAAAGACCACGACGGGCGAGAGCAGGTAGTCCACCACGCTGTAACCGTGTTATTGTATAGTGCGCGCCCGGCCGTAATCGCAAACTTAAAACGTATGTAACTCCGAAACTAAGTTCGTACGGCAAAAAATTCATTAGCAAAATTTCATCAGCATTAAACGTAATATCGATTAAAAAAAAAAAAATCGAAAAAAAAAGGGTGCCCGGTAAAGAACACTTATACCTTATTTTATACTGTACAATTAAAAAAAAAAAAATGCAGTTTTTTATTTTTATTTATTTTATAATGATAGTTATTACAAAAAATATATTACCAATTGATAGTGAGTAAAAAGATACATATTTCTTTGTAAGATTCAATGTTCTGAGTTTATAGAGTAATTAATAATAATGGAAAAAGTAACGTGAGCGCTCAGTTTAGCAATCGTGTTCTTCAATAAACGGGTTAAAAATGTAATAAAAAAAGTATAGTTTAGTATAAAAAACATGTATTATTAATGGATCTTATTTTCATAATGTTCAAGTTGCAGATGTTTTTATGAAAAACCAATAACCTTATCTTAGTACCTACCTAGTTAAAAACAAATTGTTGGAATAAACTGTAATTATAATTGCTTATTATTTTATAATACTTAGCATTACGTTAGGACCTACCTAGTTAAAAAAAATTGTGGGAAAGTTATAGGTGGAATAAACTGTAATTATAATTGCTTATTATTTTATAATGCTAGGCATTATGTTAGGATATCGAAATCTATGCCCTTTCTTTACAGATCAAAATTAATTATTATTACAGTTTATTACTTAAATAGTTAATGGCGGTATATATGATTAACTCACCGTATTGTTTGTAAACAAAAGTAGAATTGTCAGTAAATGGTCAAATGCAACGCAATACAATGCTTAGCGATCGTCAATGGTATTAATAGTAGTAAACAAAGTAAACTTCACTTAAATATTAGATAACCGTTCATAAATAAACAGCACTCGACAGTGAAAAAGCGGCCAATTGGTATAAAATGTAAACTGTAAATTGTAATCGGAAAATTCGACAACTCTGTATACTGTATAAAATTCATTAATCATTAACCAACGACTATTAAGTATTAACTTCTGCCGGGAGTCCAAACATACCGTAAACCATGTTTAGAGTAGCAACATAAACAACACGCTATTAGAAAGCAGTGCAGGCAAACTATTGTCTGTTGGTTACCCTGTGTGCTACTATCAGTATCTGCCCCATCTCATCTTTATGTACGATCTAAGATAATTATTACAATTGTGTTCCCTTTTTGAATTATGATAAAGTGTGGCACGTGAATTGCATTTGTGTCTGTCAATGTATATTATACTTATTTTTTCTTTTATAGGTCTTAGATTAGTGATACCGAATACCGGACTGGTAAGTAGTCATTAGTCAAGTCCTAAGTTCAACATCCTGATCAGGTGTGGTTACAGAAAAATGTGCTTCAGCATTTAGATGACTTTTGTTGTAATATTATTTTGTTTGATATAGTGATTAGCTGTATGAGAAAGTTGATCGAACGCCACCATAATGGATTATACTCCGACCACAGTGTCAGCGACCGTGGCCAAAATGTAAGTGTTCACCTGTATTTAGTATTTGTTTTAATCTTGATACAGCTAGCATTAATTATTTTTTAGACTATGTTGTCAGTGTGGAGTGGCCATGGAGCCAAATCCGGCTAACATGTGTGTGTCGTGTCTGCGTACTCATGTTGACATCACTCAAGATATACCCAAACAAGGGACACTGATGTTTTGCCGTAATTGTGAACGTTATTTGCAACCTCCATTTGAATGGATATCGTGTTCATTGGAATCTAAAGAACTTTTAGGATTGTGCCTTCGTAAACTAAAGTCATTGAACAAAGTAAAACTGGTTGATGCTGGATTTATTTGGACTGAACCTCATTCTAAACGTATTAAGGTTAAACTTACTGTTCATGGTGAAGTTATAAGTGGCATGACATTACAGCAAGTCTTTGTCGTTGAGTTTACCGTTGCCAATCAGATGTGTGATGATTGTCATCGATCAGAAGCACAAGACTATTGGCGTGCTTTGGTAAATAGTTTAACTTGTCAAATCATAAGTGAAAATGTTTAATAGCATTAATGTTGATATTAGGTTCAAGTTAGACAGAAAGCAGATAATAAGAAAACATTTTATTATTTAGAACAGTTGATGTTAAAACACAAGGCTCATCAAAATACTCTATCTATAAAACCGGAGCCAAGTAAGGCATATCTTTATAATCTTTAACAATATTATTATGTTAACTGATTTGAATTTTTCATGAAGTCTTCTTGAGATCGGTCGGAGTACTTTTTTGATATCTTATTCCTACTATGTATGAAACACGTTTGAACATTATATAAAATTCCAAATTAAAAAATAGTTAAAATTCAAAATTGAAAAAAATATTCTAACCGATCTCAGGTAGACTTCATGTCGAATTCCAATCTGTTTTCAGAAGTCTTATCGCTTCAATACAATGATCAGACCAATTGAAATTTATTGGGTAGTTTTTGACGGAAAAATTGGCCAGTACCCAATAGCATTAAAATAAAACACACTGAATTTTTCTAATTTTATTTAAATTTAGTTTATTATATTTTAATAAAATGAAATGTATTTATTCTTAAGGATCTCTAGTTGTAGTAATACAATTGATTATAAACATTATAGATAGCCCACGGAGACAAATTTCAATTCTGGATGTCAACACGGGACAGGTGCTAGTAGTAAAGAAGCTGCAATTTGTCTCTATGGGCTATATTAAATATTATAGATGGCCCACCGTGACAAATTTCAGTTTCTTTACTACTAGTGTCTGTCCCGTGTCGACATCCAGAACTGAAATTTGTCTCTGTGGGCTATCTATAATATTTATACTCAATTGTAATACACAAATAAATTTGACATAAACGAAATGAAACAATAACATTTGTGCTTATATTTTTTATTATGTTTCTAGGTGGTTTGGATTTCTTTTACTCGACAGAATCTCAAGCGCGTAAACTTGTTGATTTTATGTCGGCTGTGTTGCCATGTCGTCATCAGCATTCTAAAAAATTGCTATCACATGACATTCACAGTAATGTTTATAATTACAAGTTTACTTATAGGTAAATATTGACTTAAATGAACATTTCTAAGTATAAGTTCTTAGTAAAATGTTTTGATAAAATATGCAATTACTTTTGTTGTCTTTTTAGCGTTGAAATTGTGCCAATTATGAAAGATAGTGTTGTTTGCTTGTCTAAGAAAATGAGCCAACAATTAGGTGGTATTAGTCCATTGAGTATTGTTTATAGAGTTACTAACTCAATTAAACTAATTGATCCTTCTACTGGTCAATGTAAGACGACATTATATATTGTAAAAGAACTTAACATTAAATCGCTTGTAATCTAATTTCAGTGGCAGATGTTAGTAGTGCTATGTATTGGCGTGATAGTTTTCAAAGTATATTTAACAGCAAACAATTGACGGAGTACATAGTGATGGATATTGAGCCTATCATGGACAAGGATAGAATATTATTCCCTGGACAAGGCCAAATTTCTTACAAAGTTAGTTTATTTCACAAAGTTATAATGTATCAATTAATAGTCCCCACAGAAATAAGAAATAATAATTGAGTTAAGTTATTTAACATAAAAATATTACAATAGTAATAGGTACTCTTTGTGTTTATGTATAGCATACTTTGGCTGATGTTTGGGTAATCAAAGCTTCTGATCTTGGTCTGACAGAAAATACAATACATTGTCGTTCACATTTGGGACACATTCTAAAACCAATGGACTCTGTATTAGGATATGCAATTGCTGATAGTAATGTTAATGATTCTAATTTTGATAAATTGTCCAAAGCGTCTCTGGTAGATGTCATTCTTATTAAAAAACACTATCCTGATCGTCCTAGACATCGTAAACGTAATTGGAAACTGAAACGGATGACAACGGATACAGAAATGAACTTGGAAAGTGATGATAAGTAAGTGACTATATTTATTTACATTTTAAGTTTTATAAATTATTAGTAAATAATATTTATTTTCAATTTATAATGATTTATTTTTGTAGTGATATGGATGAATTCATGGATGATTTAGAAGAAGACAAAGATCTACGACAGAATGTTAACATTTACAAAAATGTTGATGCGGGTACATTGCCTGTACAAGATGACCCAGAAACGCCTAAAATAAATTTAGAAGAAATGATGGAAGACTTATATATTTATGAAGATGATGTTATGGAGGTCTATGAGTAAATCACTATTTGTATTTTGGTTTAACAAATAACATTTGAAGTATATAATTTTAATTATATTTATTTTTCTTTGTGAAAAATCACAAATGTGTTTATTATTTCTTTTTTACCTTGTACTCATACAGTAGTCAGATAGATTTAATAGATACATTTTAATTAATAATGTGTATTTCTTTATAGTGAGTAAAAAAACAATGAATATAATAAGGAATGACAAAAGATAAATGTAATAGATAAAGTTATGAAGGTAGTACAGGGATTGGTATGAGAAAATTTGAAAAAGTCAATAATAGGCTTGAGGAGTGGAGAAATAAAACATAATACATAGACTATGAGTTTGGAGGAAGAATAATAAAGGTTGATGTGCCAAGGTGTGTAATGACAATAAGCGGTGAGGTTGAGAGTACAAAAGAACAGTGGCTTTGATGAGGATGTGAAACTTGGATCAAGTGAGGAGATGCGTCAAATGTTTTATGTGACAAGAGATTTCCAACGAGACTTAAAGGTAAGTTGAACAAGAGTGTGGTGACTGGTGAGACGTGTTGTATATTTCAGAGTGTTGGGCGGTAGACAACAGAGAATGAGTTTGGCGGAAATTAGAATGTTCAAGTTGGTGAGTGAATTTGGATGAGGAACAAATACGTAAGATGTAGCATTGGCATGGCTTTAGTAGCGGACAAAATTCACATAGTGGGGAGAAAAAGAAGACTGAAAAAAGGTCGTTAGATAAGATTGAATATGATACAAGTACTGCTGGTGTATGCGAAAATGATGAAGATCTTGTCGAGTGGAGGTTTAGGACAAGGGTGGCCGACCTCAAATTGTTGGGATAAGGCGAAGGAGAAGATGAATGTGTACTTCTTAGTAATAAGGATATAAAAGATATATAAATTAGTACTTTTTAATGAAAAATTAAACTTTAATTTTGTAAAATATGAAATGTATAACAACTTGTTAATTTATATATATATATTAATTCAATAAAATGGTACTTAAATTTTTGTGACAATAATATATAGATCAAATTATAATGTGATAGTTACATTAATTAAAACTTATTTATTTAGGCAGATATACGTTTAAAAAGACAATTATTATCTACAGTATACAATTTAGATAGGAAAAAATATTATCATGTCACTTTTCTTATCATATTATAATGCATTTATTTTGTATATGTACAAACCAAGTCAAAAACAACTTGGAACTTCTTTTTCTACTTTCCCCCTTTCAAAAGAATGCAATAGAATGTAAATAAATTATAACCAGTTTCACTTAAGTGAGTATAAAATTACAAACTGACAAGTGTTTCAATTAATAAATATTACAATTTGTTTAAATAATTTACATACGTCTTATATTTAACAATAGTTATCTTTTAACTGGTTAGCTAACACTAATCACATCTTAATCAAATTTCCTAATGAATTATATTAAATTAATATAATACAGAAAAACCAGTGCTCTAAATGTATTGAATCGAACAAAATAAATATCTTAAAAGAAAAAAAAAAGTAAGGTCATTATTATATGTATTACTGGTATTGGTAGTAAAAATGGGATTTTTAAACAAAAATTCAACAGTATATGGCTTTATTGACTAGTTTGACACAATGATTTAGTTTTGATAATTTATATCAAACGGTTTAATTGTTTTAACAAATAAATTATTTTACTACGCAGTTTTTATTAGCAATTGGGAAAATAGTTGTTTAATGCTATTTTGATACTACACAAATACAACAGATGGGTATAAATAACTGGAGAAACGCTGCTAAAGAATGGGATGAGTGGAGAAGAATTATTTTGGAAGCCAAGGGCTTCCACTATGGCTTGTAACGCTCAAAAGTAGTAGTAGTAGTAGATACTTTACAAATAAAATTTGCTCTCATTAAAAAAATGTTACCTAAATACTATTTTTCTATTAACAAAATAGTTAAATACAAAAGCACTAATAATATACTCTGAACAAATAATAAAATTAAATATTAATAAAAAATAAAAGGTAATACACGTCAAAATAACAATCATATCAATAAGGATTAAAATTTGTTTTAAATATATTTAGTTGATTATGCAGAAAGTAAATCAAGAAGGAACAAATACAGACATTGAAATTAGGAACCAACTCTTTAAAACACTGGTCATAAAAAATTCAAATTGGTTAACATTTGTAATGAAACGTGCATCTAAAATAATATACCGGAAGGTAAACTAGCTCATCATTGGAGTTAATTTATGTCCAATTCTTTCACATACCTTATCCTTTAGACTAAATGCTTTAGTTTCACCAATTTTTAGTGTAAACAGTAATATATTTACTATATTTCAACTACAAAATATAGTTCTCAGTCTTTTCTGAATATTTAATACACTATATCGACCTTAGGTCTTTGAGCTTTATATCTTTCAATTTCTTCAAGTGAACAAGATGTACCAGTAATGTCTAAAGCTTCTATGTATGGACATGATTTTGCAGCAGATATCAAAAATGCATCTGTTACTTTTGGATAATTACGTACAATTAGTTTCTTCAGTTTGCTTTTGTCAATTTGATCGATTCTGAAAAATCGATTGTTTCCATCAATTAATTACAAATAACAATAAAGAAATATTATTAAAAATATCATAAAATTGTGTTGATGAATTTTTACTTATAACAAAATAGTAGCAAATTGGTTTACCTACCTGTCGTGAACACGATGTACGTTAACTTCTCCTCCTCCAATTAATATTCTAATATATCGGTTATGAAAACTAAATAAATCATTGCAAAATCTGGATAAACCTAAATCACTAATTGTCACATCACTATTATGATCAGTGTCAGGTGGGCTTTCCAAATAAACATTTTTTAGTTCTTTTAACCTTTGAAAGCAAACCAATTCATGATCACTAATCGGAGTAAAACGGAGATCTAATGTCTGAAAAACATAAGGTATTCACATAAATACAAACATATAACAGATTAGGAGGGCTGTATAAAGCTTAGTGGTCAGAAAAAAAAGATTTATAAATTAACGTTCAAATATAATAGCTTTGTTAATTTATTTATAAGATTACATCATAACTTACTTCCAAAAATTTAAAGCCTGTAATAGTAGTAACGCTAGCATAAGGAATACAATCTTTAAAATGTTTACATCCTTTAAGACTCAAGTACTTCAGTTTTTCTAATTTAGCTAATGCATATAGGCATGGTGGCATAAACCAATCGTTGTATTGCATTTTGACTATCTACAATAATAATAAAAAAAATAATTTACAATTAAAATATTAATCCAACTACAATTTATAATTATTTTTCTTTACTCTTTCAATGTCATAAAATTGGAGTGTATGAAAATGGCCTATGCTATATTTAATGTGAAAAAAGTAATACAAAAGAACAAAATGAAAATGATTTTTTTCCCATGCATTCAATAATGATTATATGTTAATATGCTAATATGTTCATTTCAATAATTCTTTTTAACAAAATTGCTATTTAAATACATTTTTAAGTATTTAAAGTTTATTTATTACAATTAAAACATAATAAACAATTATTATAAAAAAGTAAATTGTACGATTGTAACAAATGATTACTGTTATTGGCAATTTATATTAGTTTTTTTGAAACATATAATGGAGACTTTATTTCACTTTTACTTACTTCTAAATTTGGACAAGAATTATTTAAACCATTTAAGAATGATGTACTCTCTGGAATGTTTTCTACTGTCGTATGTTTAATTTTTAATATTTTGAGACCTCTATGAAAGTATTTAATATTTATCTGTAAACAGTTTTTTTTCTAATATAATTATTTAGTGTACAATAAATGAAACATCTAGAGCTTCTCTACAATCAATTTTGCTATGATTACCTCGTTGTTGTCAATTTTTTGTTTGTGTAAATTCAAACTGACCAACTCGGGGCATCTGAGTTCTAGATGTGATATGAACTTGTCTGAAACTGAAGCATCATAGTTTGGAATATCCATACCTCTTATAACCAAATTGGTAGTGCATGCTTTTAAATAGTTCATATATACATTCTCCATAGATTTTTCATATTTAGCAAAGCACACATTTTTCCAAAGAGTCCAGTCTTTACTGATTCGTGATAATGAACGACATACTCTAGAACAATGAACGAATCAATTAAAAAAAGTATGATCCAGGTGTAATGAAATTTTAAGTATTCTTACAATGACATATTGGCAAGATTGTCATGTGTCAGGAACTTGAATATATGCATGATCACGTCGTCACAAAGACTTGTTAGGTTTACGGCAGTCGGATATTCCACACATGACACGAAGGGCTCATGCGTAACTTTAAATTTTTTCGAATCGTTTTCATCATATTCATCATTTTCAATTGATCTTTTGTTATTGGAATCCATATTTGAAAAGTTTCTGATTGACGTCCACTAGGTATTTATTCGGTTCGTACTCGATTGGAACGTTGCAGGTTGTGGTGATTAGAATAATTTACAAGTAGAAAACTAATCACTTTATAATTTTACCTATTCGGCAGCCATAGCGTACGAGATTTATATACAATTATATACTACAGTAACAAAGTAAAATGGAAAAAAATAGATGACGAGAAAAAGGGAGTAAAAAATTGAAACCAAGTCGTCGAAATTCCAAACTAAAAATGTATGTACTTTATAAATATTTTTGTTGTAAATTGATAACACATTATATTATACCACTATAATATACTACTATAACATAGCATTAAGGTCCAACCCATAGTAGAGTACATAAAATTAAAAAATATTTTTGTATTTTTTTTTAGTTTTTAGTCCAACCATGATAAAAAGACAGTGTCACCATATGGACCATAAAAACAACCCATGTATTAAATATTGCGCCGGGTTTTCCTGTGATAGCAGTTCAATGTTTGTCTGTTGTTAATCTCTTAAACTTAGATTTATCTCATTTTATGATGCCTACGAATTTTGAATTACAATAGTTAATAGTTATTATTTATTATTAATATTTAACTTATCGTTTACACTTAACATACGTTTGTCGGTTTATATCTTGAAATTGTAATTTTATTTTTATTATTGTATACAAGTTTTATGTTTACCAACTAATTAATCTCAATAAAATAATTGAACCAGAAGAACGAATCAGTTTACATACGTACATACAAAAATGGTAATATAATAATATTATTAAGTCTAGTGCCAAAGCTGACATCTGTAATTATCGGCCTATATCTAAATTGTGCACTTATTTGAGAAGCTTCTAAAACCCAAATTATCATCGACATTTAAAAATGTCTTAAATAACTGCCAACCTTGTTTTCTGGGTCTAAATTAACTATTATCAATCTACTTGTATTCAGATATTGTTTCTACTGTTGCGACTGGAGTGCATGTAGATACAATGAAAAAAAGCGTTCTATTCAGTAAATCATGCTGTTCAAATAGATAAATTAAAAAATATTGGAGTATAGAACCTATTACTTAAATGGTTTGCATCGTACCATTCAGGTATGTGGCAGCAATTTAGGATAAATAATGTTATTTCTTCCGGTTTTCATGTGACCCCTGTAGTACCCCTAGGGGCACCTATCTCCATTGCTATTCTTAATATTTATGAATGATCTTGCTGATGTTTCCATCATTCTAGCTCTTTGCTTTTTGCTGATGATATTAAAATATTTAAGTGTTGATTCAGTTGTTGATAGTCACAATCTATAGGACGATTTGAACAGATTTTACAACTGGTGTGTTGTAAATGATTTATGTTTAAATATCTCAAAATGTTTTTAGATCACCTTATGTCATAAATGGTCTTATGACTGTAGTTGCTTTTGATTTAGAACTACTAGTTTGGCCCAGTGCCGCCAAATTTTTCACGTCTGCTGGATACATGAATAAATTAATAATTAAATCAATTTTATTTTGATTCATTAGCCACCATAGAAAGCTACCTTTTAAAAAATTAAAGCATTTATATTTACATATATTTCTTTTTAATTGTTTTTGTATTATTTCGAATGTATTTAAAAATCATTAATTCTCTATTTGTATAACTAACACTACCTGTACTCTTTGCACTTTATAGTGTCAACTTATAAATAAATAAATAATAAAGTCTTTTATGAGTAGGTACTTTTATAGCTTAGTAGATTGTTAATTTCTACTGAATTTTAAAATCCATCAATGTCTCCTATGACGTTGCAACACTGTTCATACATCATTTAAAATTTTGAAAACGTTGCATACCCTATTTATTAAGGAGTTAGGTATAGGCAACTTTTTGCAAACTCTTTATTTAAAGGTAATCTGTTATGTATAATTAGTTCAGTACCTAATTAGGACTCTTTTTTTAAAATATATATATCGGACTATCACAGCAATCCAGACGATGAAAAATATTCAATTTTTTTAGAAAATACTGTCTTGGCTTTTAATACAGCTCTTTTAAAAGTTGTCAGACGGGGAGTTACTTATAAATTTGAAAGATTGAAAGATAAAAACTTTATCTGTATCGCCTCAACCAGATTTTTATAATAACTTAATTATTAAATCGAAAATGAGAAAATTAAAACATTTTTTTAAAAACCATTTTTACCTTTATGTAAATCAAAAACTAATCGCGTTATTAAAAAAGACTCGTCGAGGTGACACAGATAAATTTTGTAAGTTTAAGATCAATACAAGTATCTGTCCTGCAAGACAATTTTTGGAAAAGCTGTATCAAGGAAGCCAACTCATGTTTTTATACTGTAAAAATACATATGTACATCCTCTTCTTATTAAGTATTTAAAAATAGTCTTCAATCTTCAAAAATGTTATTCAATAATATTCATTGTGCTCTGTTTTTCTAGTTGTTTTATTCGTTTTTCAAGTCGCTTGTTGGAAAGGATGTTGTAGTTGAATTGAAAAATGATCTGAGGTATGTAACTGCAAATATCTGTTTTTTTTCTTTCTTATTAAATATGTATTATGTGTATTTTTCCAGTATTTGCGGAACATTACACTCAGTAGATCAGTATTTGAATATTAAATTAGTTGATATCAGCGTCACCGATCCTGAGAAATACCCACATATGGTAAATATTAAACATTTAAAACAATTAACCCTTAACCACACGCGCTGGTGTATTTTATCCACTAAACTTTTATTTACCCTATTTTAATTCATTTGGTTAGTTCATTAACCAAATTGTTATAATTAATTATAAAAACAAAAATCAAGTTTTTTTTAAGTGAATAGTTAATAAATAAAACTAACTGTGTAGTATACCACTGCACGTGTAATTATTGAAGAAAAAAAATAGTATTTAATGTTAAGGGTTAAAAGAAAAATGGAAAGTACATAAAACATATTATAAGTCATAGTAATTTGTTGCCATAAGAAATGTTAAAGTTCTTAGCAATGGTTTTTTCAGGCATCTGTGAGAAATTGTTTTATACGTGGGTCAGTGGTTCGATATGTACAATTGCCTGCTGATGAAGTTGACACACAGTTATTGCAAGACGCTGCTCGTAAAGAAGCAACAATAGCTCGATAATATATAAGTTTGTAAACTATAATAATATGTAATATTTAAGAAGTAATATACTAATTAAGTGAACAAATTGAGATTATTACTTCATCATTGATAGTTGGTGTGGAAAATTAAGTTATTTGTGTTACTTAACTTTGCATCTTGTTTTTGTGCATTGGTCCTTAAATACTTACAAAATATGAGATGTTAATTTGTTAGAAAATTAAATTTTGAATAAAAAAATCAAAAATCAATGTAAATTAGAGGATCTCTTCTAGAAAAAAAAATCAATATCCAGTTCTCAATGCCATCATTTTTTTCCTCGTTGGTCGTGTTTTTAAGCCGAAAATAAGGCCGCGACCGGGTTTTTTAAATACATGTTGGTCAAATTTATAGCTTTTTTCTATAAAATTATTATAAAACAGGTTAAAAATAAAACAATTTTTATCGAATTTGTATTTTATTGTTTATTGATTTTGCAGGTTCAAAACACATAGTCATATAGTGGCTTTTTGCTAAACATGGAATAGATTTTTTAAATTGTACTTATAGTATGTGTAGGCTTAACCATTGATATATTGAAGGTGCTATGACAAAACCTCAACAAATATCCATGGACATAAATGCCATTTTGGTTAGAAGTCCCACTTCAATAAAGTGTGACTCAGGTAAACTTTTCACGTTAGTCACACAACTATATTATGTGACTAGGGTGAATTTGTACCCCGCGCACGTTACCAAAGGTTAAGAGGATGTTATATTTATTAAGGGGCTCGATAAAGACAATTTTTGACAAAATAGTATTTTAAGTTGTTTCACGTTATTTTTTAATAAGCACTTTTAGATGAAATAACATATTTTCCATATTAGTAATTATATATATATATATATATATATATATATATATATATATATGTATACACGTTATGAGGGTTGGCCAGTCAAGTTTAAACTCGGTTAAGCTATTGAAATATACTATTACTAATTGTAATAAACATTTGTTGTATTTATAACAAATACTGTAAATTAATCCCTGGTTAAATATATTACAATTGAGTAAATACAAATTATTAGATGTATAACTAAAGGCCCATTTACACAATGAAAATTGAAAGTACTCTTGCGATAGTACCACAGATGACAGATTAATATGATCATATAATCTGTGCTATCTCTACCTAATTGCATCACATTAAAATAGGTTCATTATAGTTCCACGAATAAAATTAATTATTAAATGATTTGTTAACAAATAGCAAATTTATCTGGATTAACGAAATATGTTAATATATATTATTTATATCGAAATTTTACCGAAACGGTGACAGGAAAACAAACCGACCTCAATTATAATAACTACCTACCCAAGTCCTTTTGTTTTTTTTTCTTATTGTGCAACATTTACCTTTATATGGACTAGGTAAATACATAATTATACACCTATATTGAACGTCTATTGATTAAAACATATATGGCTACAAGACCCGATATGTATTAGGTTAGGTTTTATAGTCATGCGCTGACGTTTTAATCAAGTATACATGAATTATTTAACCAGGCTTTATACTTTATTTAAAAAAAACGGATACCTAATTATTAGATATACCTGAAATCTTCGATGAAGTTATCGATTTTTGTTAATAAATAATAATATACATGTCGTCGTTAGCATTGATGTGATCATGTGACAACTGAGAAGGTAGTGATTAAAAAGTTATATGTATTTTATAGTGGAATAACTGAATAATAATCTACATTTCTACGTTTACAATAGTTAAGTTATTAACTGACATCTATTTAGAAATTTGGTGTATAATATAAGGCGAAAACAACTTTCATAGTTTTTTTAGATTATTAAACGTAATGTCTAAAAGTAAAATGGTTATAATTTATTATATCAACAAAATAATACAATTTTAAGTCAAGTCAAAAATGTAGAAAACGTTACCCAATGAACAATGGGTGGTAGGTCCCCGGATAAAGTTTCGGGCAAAATCCACATATTTCTATCTAACTAAAAAAACCCTATTTGTTTTGATAAAATTCTAGAGAAAATAATTAGATGAAAAATACATTTGTTTAATGTCTCCAGCTCCCTACGAGTACACGCACATTTGTTTGTACCTATATTTTATTTATTAGTATAACGATTATAATATAATTTTAGTACAAGACAAAATAAATTTCTAATAAATTACAACGTCACTCTGCATTTTAATTTTTAATAATCGAATAATTTCGATATTAGGAACAAAAATAATATACTTAATAATTGGATAATAAAATATAGAGTAGCAAAGAAATAATTTTATTATAATATATAAGAGGTTTAATGAGGCATGAATAATCCACGAATATCATGGTACTGCTGGTAACAATTAACTGTAAAGTGTAAACATTCATTATTCTTCTACAAAATATAATGTTATAAGTGTGCAAACACAAATAATTTAATACATAGACTCGCAATATTATTTTACACAAGTAAAATAATTAAACAGCATTTATATTAAACAAAAAAAAAAACCGCGTGTAAACATTAAAAATGAATACATATAAATATTATTTCATAAAATAACACTAATAAATTCTGGATTCAAGCAATTGTAGGTAAAATATTTTATTGTGATTACACGATATTTTTAAAAACTTAAATTTTGTATGCCTGTTTTAAATTTTAATAGAGCAATTTGTTTTTCATTGACAAACGTCAATATAATTTGTATACGGTAGAGACAACCGATACAGAAGGAGTTTTTTCTTTTCGTACACACGATAAATACTAAAGCGACATAATTAATGTAGTAAGATTGTTTTCTCAAATACCTGCTTTAATAAATAACTTTTGACCGAGAAATGCGCAAGCTAAACATAATTATAATAATTGTACTCAATACATGCGTTCACGCGTTCGCGTTTCGAGTTCAACCGGTTTGCATAAATACACAATTGATATTAATATTGATTTTATACATTTAAATTACAATTTGTACAAACGTTTGTCGGATAACTATGACGTGTAACTACTAATCCGTGATTCCTGAGGGCCAATGATGTGACGAAACCAAAAATATAGGGAGACAAATTTCAATATTACCTACCAAATAACCACGCCCAACATGTCCCCAAAATTCCTAATGTAAAAGCTTCCAAAAACGTCAGAAGCAATTGCCTATAAAATTGATAGCTCGTCACGCCACCGACATTGAGTGTACAGAGAGATAATGCAAATGTATACCCTTTGGTGACATTGTATGTAAATGTACTTTACAGTTTACTTCACGGTTTGCAACGTGGGCTCGAGCAAGGCGATTTACATATAAAATATAACAATAATATTTTAATAAACGACAGACAACAGAAAACTTTAATATACTTAGGTTTAATAATAATAGACAGGGAACGAGAAGAAAATACAATTATCGTGTTTTTTATTTTTGGATTTTCCGTTACCGGAAAACATTGACTAGTGTTCGTTGGTACCGTTAAAGTATGAATTTTGCATCAGGTACAGCTTGTCGATGGGGTTGACCTGTTGGCCCGACATGACGGACGCGCTACCCGCATGATGATGGTGCATGACATGTTGCTGCGTCCCGTGCACTGATAGATCAAGTGACATGGTGTCCGAACCCATTTCGTCCGCCGCTGTGGTGCTACCGTCCAGCGACACGTCCGAACTGCAAAAGCTGTCTACTGAATGGTCACCGATGTAAGTACCTGAAACATGGTAATATTAAACGTACTATTGTGGTGTATGTTCGTAAGGGTAGTAAACCCTTACTGTACAAATACAGTAAGTACTTAGACAAAATGCCTATGATTTATACAGAAACATCACACTAAAAACGGACTGCGCACTCCACACACCTTTCTAGGGGTTGGCTATGCTTTGTAAATATTAATTGATTACAGTTAATGAGACTCCATGGAGATTGTGAATTTATCAATATAAACCTCCACCAACTATCCTTCCAACACCGATGCCAGATTGCCTCAACATTCAAACTATATTGAGTAACTAATACTAAATTCAATCATGCAGAAAGATTTCATGTTTAGTTAAATTAAGCCTTTAAAAAATGTTTTTCAATTTTATAAAATCAGTACTTCCCGTCTTACAGATTATTAGCAATGTTTCTTTGGTATGGTTAAGTAGGCGGTACTCGATTTTATTTTTACAACCCGTTAACTCATTTTTTTCTAAATAACTAAACAACTTTGACCTGTACCACTGTATCGATGAATGTTATTTACAAATTCTTTATGACAAACAAATCAGAGACGGTCTAATTGAAAATTTCAAGTTATGAATATCTGTAACAACTATAGAAAAATAAACTGGTCACCTAACATCGAGCCTCAGTTTGGGTGTAGAAAACAAAAAACAGACAATAGAAAATAATCGTAATTCGGGACTAGAATTGATCTTTAATAAAATCCAGTTAATCTCTCTGCGCGCAGTCCATATCTCAGTTAGATGAGTCTTTTTAATATAAACCATAGACGTGTTGGGTTTTTTGGATTTACCTTCGGGCGAGTACGGGTTGTTAGGGTTAAGCGGCTGGCTGTTCTGGTAGTTTGAGTCGCTGCTGTCATGCATACTTAGCGTGCTTAAGCTCAAATAGTGATCTAGGGACACAATCGGAACATATTTTATAAATAATTTATGGCTCCTAAAGTTTTGCTGACACATTATACACGGGGAATCGTTTACGAGGCAGAGGTCATCTCTATCTTAATTATCTCATCTATCCCTTAAACTTTTGTTCGTTACTTACTTTACACTACTCTCTTTACTCTGATTTCACTACCTAGTACCTTGCATTATATTTTAGCTACATTTGTATGTGCAATTCAGCAACCGTATTTGAAATGTATATATTATGTAACGTTACCTCCAGAGCAAACGCTGGACGTGGTATTGGTGGCGTGTTCAGTCTCGTTCTTGTCTGTGCTGATCGCGTTGTTGTTGTTGGTGTTTTTGTCGTCCTGCTTGGTCTTCCTTTGGATCTTTTTGATTTTGGCCCTCTGATTTTGGAACCACACTTGGACGACTCGCACGCTCAGACCCGTGTCTTTGGCAAGCGCCTCTCGCACCTTCCTGCACGGCTTAGGACTGACCTCGAACGACGCTTTGAACTGCCGCCGTTGCACCGAAGTCAAAATGGTCCTAGGTCTTTTGGGGCCACGGCGGCCGTCCCGTGGTCTGCAGTTCTCATCTGTGGTCAGTGGGTCGTCCGCTATAATGCGATGAGAATATATTTTACGGTGTTTTTTTTTTCGTGAAATAGTCTCAACACTTACCAGTTTGCGGACTTCCCGCCGACTGTTGCATCAAAAAGATCTCCTTCTCGTAGTCCGTTCTGCAGATCAGCTGTCCTCCGCCTGCCCTGACCACGTATTGCTGTCCTTTCTGCAGCGGTTGCATGCAAGCCACACACGCGAAACAACCCACGTGGTACACATGACTGGGTCCGGCGCGCATCACTAGCTCCCTGGGGCCCAACGGGTCGCCACATCTACCGCACTTGACGCCAAACAATCTGCAACAAAAAAAAATTATAACCAGACCGGGTGGTGAGTCTATGACACCTCAAAATACCACAAGTTTGATTTAAATTTGTTGAAAAATGTTAAATCTTGTAGTAGTGAAAAGTGGCCTGACCGATCTCAAGTAGACTTCACACTGAACTCAAATTGATTTTCAGAAGTCTTATCGCATCAATACGACGATCGGACCGATTGAAGGAAAACGGGTAGTTTTGCTGCATAAAATTGTATGAACAGTAGCCGTTTTAACCGACTTGTACGAGAGTCATTTCAACAATGAATTAGACGGGTGCGAGGACGGGAGGGTAAGATAACAACACTCACACTAATGTTCATTTACTACCCACAACTCCTTAATTAAGGCCGGTACCCAATCGCCTTAATAGTGAAATGAAAACATTTTTTTAACATACGTCTTCTAAAATACAAAATGCGTTTTAAGACTTTAAAGTTATAATATAACAGTATACATCATACGGAGTACAATTTTTAGTTAAAAAAAAAAGGTTAACGCGAAAAACGGCCTACCGGGACAACAATATTATTATGTCCGGTATCCCGGAGAGCCTATATTCGACCTCCGACTGTGAACAATAGGAATGATTTTTCACTCGTTTTGGCAACAGACAACTTTTCGGAGACATCTCGTGCATACTTTCGTTGCACACCCAGAGACTACTCGACGACAATATTTAATTTTGTCGTTGTTGTTATTATTATTATTTCTTTTTTTTTTGTTTACCTGTCGTAGTCATTTTTGCAGTACAACCCGTTGTGACGGTAGTAGCACGACGTGGACAGCGGGATGCCGCATGCCGAACACGTGACACAGTGTTCATGCCAGCTACTGGAGCCTACGCGCATCAGAAATCTGTCGACAATCTTCAGGCCGCATCCTTCGCAGCACGCCGGACCATCGCAGTCGTTGTCCACTGCAACAATAATTTGACAAAATATATAAATCACTGATTAGCTGTCTGCAAGAACGCCTGAAGAAGATTTAATACGCGTCTGCAAGTTTTGATAGGTTCCCATCACACATGGCCCCACGTTGACCTTGCTTGCAAAAAATGCATGCTTTTAAATCGATTCGATGATTTTTTCAATACTATAAATAAAAAAAAAGCCAGTACAGCGGGGTCGGGGAATAGTGGGGACGGAGAGGTCACAAGTCTACAGGAATTATTATAACTGAAAGTGATAAAATCACTTTTAAATAAACGCTTCGATGCGAATCTGTGATAGTATGTTCAAACTTGTTATAGTTATGTGATATTTCAATCCGCGAAAGTTTCAACGCATTCATAGTTATAGTGGTTTAGAACATACCGTGGGACCAGCAATAATGTACTTAAAATTTAATATTTAGTCTTGTGCAGGGTGGATACGATAAGGGTTGATCGTCTGTCTATACAAATGTACTGTCATAGTTACCCATACATCGTAATAAACAATATAATGAAAATATTTTCATTACCTGTTGACTGTTGATTCACACACATAGCAACCTAGAAACTGACTACGGCCAAAGTGTAAATTTACCCTATTTTGGGGGTTTTTCCTTAATAAAAATAATGTTTATCGATAGTACTATGTTTAAAGAACAATTCATATAAATTTGGAACATTTTCGACTATTTTTAAAAAAGTTATAGAGCATCGTAATTTTAAATTGAAAAATTTGTAAATTTTTTGGGCGTTTTTCTCGATTTTGATGGGGAAGGGGTGACTTTTTTTAATTTTTGGCTGAATAAGTACCTTCCGTGTATGATTTCTGATCTATAGAGTTGCTACACGAAGAAATCGGTTCACCGGTTTACGAGATATCGAGGGTCCAGACAAAAAAAAAATTAATAAAAACGCATCATTGTAAAAATAATACCTTCTCAGCTCCGCGTCGAAGCTAAAAGTGTGTTCGAGACCCTAATATCCTATGGCGTTAGGTATTACTATCTACCTACAATGCACATAATAATTTAATCATCAATATAATATTTCGAAACAAACCTGGGGAATATGAAGAAGCTATTATCTCTAGCAAGTTATAAAGACATGAAAAGACTAGCATATAACCATAGGCGCAATTTCAATTTTTTATTTGGGGGGGCTGGAATTTTTTTTTAAATATATATATATACATATATAAGTAAATATATTTTTGTATTTCAAAATTGTATGTATAACCTAATTTGTTTGGGGGGGCTAAGCCCACCCTAGCCCCCCCGTATTTGCGCCTATGCAGATAACAGAGAAGATTAGTTGAAGCGACAAGGCGAAGCTTTATAGTTCGATTTCGACTTCGACACTTAAAACAATTCAAATTAAGGCGTCTGCAAGAGCGCCTGAAGAAGATTTAATAAGCGTAGAAAGTTTTGATAGGTTCCCATCACACATGGCCCCACGTTGACCTTGCTTGCAAAAAAAGCATGCTTTAAATCGATTCAATATTTTTTTCAATACTATAAATCAAAAAAATAAATATGTTTATAAAGAATGAGAACTCAAAACACTCTTCTCTTTCCCCTATGGTATTACGGTATCCAAATCTAGGGCTGTGCCGCTCCATCCAACATACAAAAATCCAGCCATTTCAATCCATTTGCCTACACACACTAACAAATTCCCCTTGGTATATTTAAAAAAACCCCCTTCATTCTGATCTCCAAATTAATTATGTAAACAAGATCGCCAAAACTGCCTACCAAAAACTTCATATTAAATTCAACTCACCCTAACCCTAACATAAACTACTTCTCTTCTAATCATACCCCAGATAATCGGCCAAGTAGATTAAAAAGGAAATGGTGCAGAGACCTCCTATAAATAAAAAAGAATAAATAAATAAACTATAACACTCAAAAATCAAAGTATCACTGGCGATGGTATCACTAGGCTCGCTAGTAACATTTCCCTACAGGTATGATAAATATTTAAAAAATAAGGAATGTTGAATTTTTACATCTTTGAACTTAACAGACAGCATATTTTATCACCAGAACTGTGAGATAATTGCTTTGGAAAAAAATCAACCAAAACATCAGTCATCAAAACAACAAGTAAGAAAACTTTCTTCAACAAGTTCAGAAAACTTTGGTGATCCATTAAATAAATATTGTTTTAAAATACTAATTTAAATGTGTACATTTTTTATTTTATTTTAAGAAATCGATTCTAAATTTGTGTATTAGTTTTAGCTTCGATGCGATATATCTGATAGTACATTGTACTTAGTATTGATGTGTTTTTATTTTTATATTTTTGTGTCTGTACCCACGATATCTTTTAAGCCACTGAACCGATTTCTTCGAGTAGCAGCTCGTAAGGTCAGAAATTGTACCTAATAAAGGTACTTTATTAGACCAACAATTTATAGTTCATCCCTTCCCCTTCAAAATCGAGAAAAACCCGCGAACAATTAAAACTTTGTTCAACTTAAAATTACGGCGCTCCATTTATTTTTTCAAAATAGTCCAATTAGTTCCAAATATGTATAGAATATTTATACTACCGACAAACGCTGACAACCTAAACAATTATCGTACATCCTTTCTCTTAGAAGGTGTGGACTTTCTTTCTTTCGCTTTTTCATGCAAAGTTTTACGGGCTTAGGTATGAAAATTAGACCAAAGGTAGATCTAAAATGGGGTTATAATATATACAATTTTCTCAAAAATCTTTTATCAAACATTTTTTTTTTATTAAGAAAAAACCAAAAAACTAGAGGAAAATTACACTTTGACCGTAGTAAGTTTTTAGGTTGCTATGTGTGGTTTATACATACCACCCATAGATTCGCATCGAAGTGTTTATCTAAAAGGGACTTTATCACTTTCAGTTATAATAATTCCTGTAGACCTGTGACCTCTCCATATGCCCCGACTCCTTCTGCATTAGCTTTTTTTCAATATTTTAAAATAACATGTGTATTTTTGATAGATACTTTATATGAATGAATACTTTTAAATTTAAGGCATTAAAGGGCAGATTTGAAAATAATGGAGTTGAGGCAAACAATAGTAGGTATTTTACTATCATACTAGTCGGAGCTAGACAGTAAGATAAAAAAGTTATAAGATGGAGTGGTAGCGTGAATAGGGGGAAGGGATAGAAGGAATGAATAAATAATACATTGACATATTATCTGATAAAAAATAAAACTCAAACGGAATACCTATATGAAGATGGTTTGAGAATGTCATGTTAGATAACGAAACAGTAAATATGGTAGAACGATGAACGACGTTATTGTGGGAATCGATTTTTAATATTTTAATTAAAATTGTGTTTAAATTCTATTTCAATTTCTCGAATACTTAGCATTTCTTCATTGTCTATTTTAAGTTAATGACACAGTTATTCATAATCTAATTTTACAATAACCTTAAAGAAAGGCCGATGAGCACAAATATGTTAACAGAATTATAATCCGATCATTCTAAGTAAGCATAATTTTGTTAGGCTTGTAGATCTAAATAGGTCCTTGTAGGAACAAAATGGCTTTTATTCGTATAAAAATTATTTAAGTTAAAAATGATACCCTGGCGCTTATACAAATTAATCTAAAAAACAATTTACATGGTCGAAATTTATTAAAACCACGTTTTTCTTAAATATTGCTTATGTACATCCCCTTGGGAATTTCTGTAAGTTATCAAAAAACCAAGGTAATAAAATATATGTTCAACTTATTTATTTAACATATCTGTTTTCATTTTTTCACAGTAAAAAATAGTTTATCAATGTATTTATGTTATGTTAAATTGTATACATTTTAAGCGATAAACTGGCAATATTTAATGTTTTTCTGAAGAAATTAGCGTTATTTATTTGTTTGCTAAACATTTTAGTTACTAATTCAATTTTATTTTAATAGAATATCGCCAAATACTTTTGGAAAGTTGACGATCGGAAACAATAAATATTTAAAAGTTTGTCTGAAACTTAGCCACATGACAACATACAATTTATTCGGGCAGCTATTTACAACAAAACAATGCGCTGGAATTAGGATTAAGCGATTGAAAATATCTTATTTACCAAATATAAGAGGTATGCTTTGAACTCATTTTTTTTTAGAAAAATAAAATATCTAATAAAACAAGTTATAAACATATTAACAACTTAGTTTTTATTATTCTTAAGGAGAACGGAAAGCATCAATTAGCGAATTTATTTTCTCAATTGTCTACCGAACCGATTTCAACTGTTTGTTATATAGTTTAACATCTACTCTATAGGGGCTAAAAGGCCGAATTTGTACTGTTGTTTTCCAAAAAAATTTTATAAGCATTTATATTTTTACTTTTTTCTAATAAATCTAACTATTGCTAAGTAAAAAATCGGCCTCTTCGCCCCAATAGAAAAAATAGTAAACTTCGCATAAAAAAAATTTTTTAATCCGACAAATAAATACGCCAGAAAATTATTTGTACGAGGAATTTTTTTTATCAAACTTTCGCCATAACTCAGAAAAAATAACTTTAAAAGTATTACAACTAGAAAAACATAATACTTTTTCACCTTAAAATAGTTAATCGGCATATTAAAAATGGCTACTAGATTAATTTTTGTCAAATATTGCCTATCATCTGTCCCTTAATAAATAGCGCTTTCCGTTTCCCTTAACATACTAATTTTATCTTATTGCATTTGCCTTTAGAGTCTAGACTCTTGTCTAGATGTCATTTGTCATATTATAAACATATAGCTTAAATTGCAAATTATTAAGTTTACAAACGTATATAATTAATAAAAATGTACGTTCCATAAACATATTGCTATAAAATTAATATCACACCAATGACAATAGTTCTTGTTAATATTATCCAAACATTTTGATCATACACTTATTTCTTATTTTTTACATAGTTGCTAGATTATTAAAAATATGATTTAAGTACAGTATAGGTTATGTCAATTACTATTGAATCGTC